CATTTGTTGTAGTCGAATGGTTATAAATACGTATTGTCATACTCTAGGGATTGCGGGTTCAAACCTGGGGTTTGAAAGGAGGAAATTGTGTGCACTTTTCTTCCCTTTTATCTAAATAGGGAAAAAACAAAAGCATTGTAAGCTATCGCTCGCTTAGACAATTTTAATTGAAAACTACCCCTCGATTTGTTGTGCAAACTTTTCTACCAAAAATCTTGCTCCCAAGTATCAAGTATACCTTATTTTCTGAAAGGAAATATTATCCCCATGGTTTAGGGAGGTCATTTTTGTGATTTCAATCGGTTTTCATAATAACTGGGAAAAACCAAGATAAAATATCGGGAAAACGGAAAATGTACCTAATGTAGATATTAGTAAAAAAATATTATAGCTTTTTTTTCTGTGTACAACTTTTCTACCAGCAATTTTGCTCCGATTTATATTGATAGTACTTTTTCTAAAAGTAAATCTGATTGGGAAGGTACTTTTAGGAGGTAATTTTTCGATTTTCTCAAACGTTTTCTTAGCAAATGTGATACTCTGGGAAAAAACATGGGAAAACCGGTAAAGACGCAGGAAAATGGAAAAATCGATACAATATTAAACAAATATTATTAAACAAAAATATATAATGCCTATTTAATTATTTTACCATAATATGACATATATATATTGTTGAAAAAGCATCACTATTAACTGAACTGCGCTCAGAATCGTTTTTTCGTTAACAATGGCTTATCATTGCTTACAGATATACATTATATTACCTATACCAGTGGCTGCACCTGTCTCCATTATCCTAGGACGTCTTTTTTTTTTACTAATTGAAATGGTACAACAAATAATAAAATCGAACAAAAGTACGGGAAAATTTTGTTCAAATGGACACATGTATACGAAACATTACAGTACGTCCAGGGAAATTAAAAACATCAAAAGAAAATTCTACTGAAATACCAATAATAATAAAACATACAATCATCCTCCAGACACGCATGAAATTGAAGTCAATAAATGCTAAGCACGAATGAAACATAAGGCAGCAACTACGTCAACAAATCCAATTGAGATTTAATGTGAAGAACTTGGAAGCTTGGTTAGTGTAACTCGTGCAAAGATGCCATCAGGAATAATAACTATAAAATAACTCTTCGAAATCATCGATCAAAAAATAATTCAAAAGAACCCATACGGCCACATATTTAGATAGCTGTATAATTAAAGGTAAGACCAAAAATACTATATTATTATGCTATTATTACTTATTAGGTTAGCTTTTTTACCTGTTCAATGCTGATGATGTTCTAACTGGAATGAATTATATTAAAAGTATTATGTATGTCAGAAGAGGCTTCAAAAGTAGTAAACTATTTTGATCAAACTTATACTACGGGAACAAAAAGACCAATTGAAATTTCGCGGCCGAGTAAACAAACCACATTTCGATATATTCCCCCAATTTTCCTATCTGCTACATGAAATGAACATGAAACAACTATTATCAATTTAGAGCATACTAATAATTATACAGAAGGATTTAACTATCAATTTTCTAAACTCGTAAGTTAGTTATAATAATCCTTCCGTTTGGACACTGCTTAAAAAAATTAGATTAGAAATAGATTCTAAAAACACTAAATAGAGCCATTTGATTAAGGTAATTTAAAACTGAAAAAAATAATATATACATATATGAAAATATGCAAGAAAAATAAATACATTTTTTATGGGTACTTACATATTTATTACACTTTGCTAAGTATCATTTATTTTCTTTTTACATTTTTTTTTTTTAATTTTATACAAATATTTTTTTATTGTACCCTATATGCATGATGTAATGTATTATTTCATATGACTTACATACCTACCTATAATAATATAATGTACTTATTGATTTTTAAAAATAAATAATTATAAATTATAAACCATACTTATAAAAATTCAAATTTCTTTTTTCCAACTATTCTTATTTTGAGTCAAAAATAATTAGATAGTTAATTTTTTTCACTTACTTTTTTCCCATATGAATTTTTATATTTCGAGTGGAGCGAAGAAGCTTATGGTTTTTTCTGTTGATTTTTTTTAGTTTACCACCTCCTCTAAATTATTTTTTTTTCGAATCCTACCTAATAATTCATATCGCTTTAATCAAATACCTACAGTATTTCTTAAAAATTTGCAGAAGAAAATCTTTAATTTTTACTACGATTTGTTTTTCTCGGAAAACACTTTTTCTAGTATCCCAACAAATTATCTAAACAATTTACAATAAATTACGATACATTGGTTTTCTTTGTTGATTTTTGGTTTATCTTGACCACATGGGAAAAAAACACTACCTACACTTTACTAGATTGCCTTACTAGCTCCACTCAAAATCATTTTTTGACTGTAATGATTTACTGTAGCTTTCCGTATACACAACTATTTTTTATACCTTAGAAACTTTCGACCTATAACGATTACCTATCCATGGTGCGAAATATGTTATGCATGTGTTTATATTATTATTTAACTAATAAAAGTATAAATATTTAATTATTATTTATCAACCAAAATAATTTACCAATAAACCTTATCTAAAGAAATAAAATTTGGTAAGATAAATTTTAGATTCTGTTGATTCTGATAACCTCAAAGAATCTAGTTTTTTTTTTTCCTAAACATTTTTTGGTTAGAATTCATATACCAATCTGTTCTAATTTTTTCACACAATATTTCAACTAATGTGGGATTTTAACCGGTAATAGGTACCTTATTTGAGAAATATATCGACATTTTCAGCAGCTTTCTCGGTTACCTTGGCAACAAGAGTAAAAACACGACTATTCTTATACTACATATTATTATACCCACTATGTTCGACAAATTTTTCTAGAGCTATTAATATTAAATATTTTTTAATTTTAATTTTTTTTTTCAATTGGTTTGTTTACGAGGAGGACATCGATTTGGATAAAAATTAAATTTTTATTTCCATCCCCTAAACACTAAAAAAATACTTTTTATTTATCCACTTAAAAAAAATTTCAAAATAACCATTTTGTAAAAGATTTCATTCTAAACATTTTAATATATCACACATTTATATCCTATGAATAGTATGAAAAATAGCGATTTTGAACATTTTGTTAAGTGGATAAATAAAAAGTATTTTTTTTTGTGTTTAAGAGATGAAAATAAAAATTTAATTTTTATCCAAATCGATGTCCTCCTCAAAGACAAACCGATTGAAAAATATTTAATATTAATGGCTCTAGAATAATCCGTTGAACATAATGGTACACACTGTATACTACTCCGATGAGAATCATGTTTTCGTATCCAATGATTTATCGTCACATATGATATATAAACTAAATTACCCTGTACATACCCAAACACCTGCCCTGTACTAGTGGGCTATTCTTGAGCAGTCATACATTTTTGAAATTTTTAACCGCCCTCTTTCAAAAATAAATCCGGCTTACACCACTGATAATATACCTATGTGGCTATATGTGTGTATAACATATATATACACACCGGCAACTATGTATAATATTAAAAAATAGTAAACCAAAGAAATATAATTATGAATTTGTATAATTTGTATTTATTGTATGAGTATCTAAAGTAATGTGATTAAAGTAAAAAAATTATGATAAAAGCATTTGTTTTGGAATGCAGTGTAAAAATGTTTAATGCAATATAGTCACTCAATAATTCAAAAAACTCCATAAATCAAACTAAATGCTTGGTCCCCTGAGAAAACCTCTATAATTAAAAGAAAATGTGTGTATTTCGGTCTTCCCTATAATTCAAAATGTCTGTCGGTGGAAGACACTTTACAATTCGAAATTATTTGACAGAACCTCTATAATTCGAATTTCTTTAATATGTACATACATATGTGTTATAAGTTCAAATAAATTTATTCTAACGATTATATTACGATACGGTACGGTATAAATATTCTAATTAACGAACTCGTAATCAAACTAATATAACGACGGCGAAAAAATATTATCGTACCTAGTTTATCTTAAATCGCTTAAATTTAAGTTAATTTTTCGACTTTATCGTAATCATCTTGGTAATAAATCTAAATCGAATCATTTTATCAAAATAAACCTTTGCAATAGATAAACAATTGTTGAAATCGAAAAAGTTAAACGTAGTCAGTCTGAATATGGGTCCCGTAAAACACAATTTTTTGTCGCTCATGGATAAAAAAAAGGTGATTGCGGAAGTTGAAGCTGGTGAAAAAAAAAGATGTTTTCCCACATTTTTTTGTTCCACATTCTACGCTTTTAACTATACTCAAACAAAAGGACTATCTTATTACATTGACACGGACACCTTACTCATCGCGAGGAAGACAGAAAAAATACGAGTACCCTGATCTGGAAAAATACTTTTTGGTCTGGTTTACTCAATGCAGGCAGAATAATATTCCAATAGCAGGACCTATTTTAAAAGAGAGAGCCAAGTTGTTTGCTGCCTTTGCGTCAATTTTTCATGCAACCTGAAATGGATGAGGAAAGATGTAATACCATTTTTAATGCTATCAGTAAGTTAGATAACGCGATGTATCAGATTGTAGCCAACAATTTAACCACAAAAAAAAAAAAAAAAACAGAAACACATTTCTTTTAATAACATTTATGTAATAATATATATTATGTACTTAATAATTTATTAATACATGTCAAAATAAATGTATATACCTATAATAAATAAATATAATTTTTCACCGCTCTTTAATTCGAATTAATTATGTTTTCCCCTTCATTATTCGAACACTTGATAAATCGAATTTTTAGCTCGGTCCCTGAATTTCGAATTATCGAGTAGCTACTGTATTTTCATAATTAAGGTGAAGCGAGAATATTTCTTTTTCTTATCAAATATCATTCAAAAGTGCGTTTACCCAAAAATTAATTTACTAATTCACCACTGGATACCTATTGGCTAAAATAACATGTTTAAATCCTCTATAACTTCATATTTATTTATCCATTTCATATTATTTTAAATCTGCAATATAATTTGTGTATTTAATAAAATATTTTTAATTCGAAAAAAAGTAACGTTTGACACTCAATACATTGGTTTACGAAAAGTACCTATACAATAAACACAATAAAAATGTTATTACACCCGGGTACTTGTATAGGTAGGTCGTTTTTATCCGGTAGGTTAAGAAGCCCGGAGGTCTATGACACTATCACTCGCTGTCTCGCTATAATACAGTTCCTTCAGTTCTCGGAAGTTTGTGCTGATCTCTTCGAATTTCATTTCGATTTCTAGGATTTTCATGTTGATCTTCTGCCAACGGTCGACGTGGATCGACACCAGAGACAACGGGTACGGGTAGGTTGTGTATAGCTGTTTGTCCATTAAGTAATAAATGCCCGTCAGATAACCCAACGTAAAGATCGTGACGATGACAGCCAATGAAAGCAAAAGGCATCTGATAACTTTAAATGCACGTCCTCCGAAATGTAGGCTGATCATGTCTGTCTTTGAAAATTATTACAAGAAACGAGACCGGAAAACTGAAAACCCCACGGATGCGCACCGCTCATAATGAATCTGACAGCTGTATAATATATATTCTCATGACACGGAGAAGTTAAAAAAAAAAATCTTAGATAAAAAATATCATCATGCGCTGAATTTCCATGAAATTTTAAACAAGTAAAAAAATGAAACTGCTAAGAGATTAGTTTGTGGTGCCACTATTCAGGTGGAAAGTTTAGAAAGTAATATACGTATAAAGTTATTTAATTTATATCTGTACACAACGTTAATCATTACTAACAAAATACGATATTGAGCGAAATTCGATTAAACACGTTTTGAAATTCCTTCATTCGTAATGGTTTACCATTTACGACAAAATTTGAACTTTATACCCGTAGGTACCTATAAAAAAACGTCTATAAAGCACTCAATTTGCTTTTTTCTGATACTATAAACTATTGTTCTATTGTTCTTATATGAACAAATTACAATGAACCTCGATTAATATTGTCAAACATTTCCACTAAGCCAAAATAATTGTCTACGTCATAAAACCAAATAGAAACTAAGAAGTATCGAAATCGTAAAATGTCTATAACTGTATCGCGTCTAGATAAGGCTACCAGTATAAGCATTTAAGTCTCTACGATTATATTTAATCAAATTATAACAAAAAACCTAAATGATAAAATCGTTATTACCATAAACTTCTTTTTTTTCTAATTTGTATAAAGATTTTCAGGGAAAAACAAAAACTACCTTCTCAATGCACCAACTAGATCCAGTAAGTATGCTATAAAAGAGATTTTGTTATTTTTAGTTCAATATCTAAAAGAAATGTTGTTTAGACGCTAAAATACGTAAAATACGCTTTTAATATATAACCATAATCTATTCCATTTTTGAAATCAGTTAAAAGTTAGATTATTTAAATTAAATAAAACTAAGAGCTGATACTGATGAGGTTCGGTGAGGCCACTGTTGTAGGTGGATAGTTGGAAAGGCGGGAGATAAAATGTTATTTTGTTTATAACTGTAATCAACCATTGCTAACGAAAAACTATTCGGAATAAAGTTCAGATTTTACGTGTTTTGAAAGGTCATATTTACGATATTCGTCAAAATTTTATTTTAAAACTTTTCTAAAAACAATTTAAAAAAATACTAAATTACATTCGAATTTTTAAACCACTAATTGCAACTTATAATGAATTTCCTGTCAAATTTCTAAAAATTTCTGTTTAGTCCAATGATTTGATTCATAGAAAATTACGTAAAAAACTCGCAAAATTAAAATTTTACGTCTCGAAAAAGTAAATACAAGTCAAAATGTCAAGTCGAATATTTATGAATAATTTTAACTGAATTATAATAAAAAACAAAATGTTAAGTAATAAAAGTGGGTATATATTAAAATTGACAAAATCAATCATCATTTTTCAATTGATGCAATATTTCTGGTAGGAAACATCTTTTATAAAAAACTATCCTAAGATAATGTGGACGTGTACCATAGGTCAAGTAAAACCATAGGTCTGAATGTAAAAGAGGAAGAAATGAAATATCTAATAGTAACATGAAGAAACTTAGTCATAGACCATATAACAATAGGTTATTGTAGTTTCAAGAAATTAGGAGTATTTAAATATCTGGGCGTTAACATAAATATCAACAACAATATGCATAAAGAAATCAACAATCGAATAGCACACAGTAATCAGTGCTACTTTAGCACAATAAAACTACTGTCACACAACTTAGACACTACTGTTGTACCACAGCTATATATGACCAATGGTCACATAGCGTGTGAAACATAGTCATTGACTAAAGGTGATAACTAACTTCTAATTACCTTGGAAAGGAAAGTGCTCAGGAACATACGGTACAAGTTATAATGCAGTATTGCAAACATCTAAGGGAAGAAAAAATCAAAAACGAGTTATATAACAGGCCAAGTATTATATCATATATAAAGTCAAGTGTCTACAATAGAATGGTTTGGTCATGCATATAAAGCAAATGAACAAGTAATAAAAGAAGTCTTAGTTAACAAATTAAACAAAAATAAGTCCATTAGGAAGACCAAGGACTTGATGGGTGAATATTGTAGCTCAGAACATCAAAAATATAAAATAAGACTTGGTTTTGACAATGCGTATGATAGAAAGAAATGGTGAGGTTTGGTGATGGCAGTGATGACTTTCAATGAGCCAACAGGCTGAAGAAGAAAAAGTTGTAACAATAAAGCCTTTCCAAATACTGGATATTATTGTTATATTACTGCCTACTTACCATTAGATTGGAACTAAGTGTTCTGCATACTTTACTTATTTAAAATAAATTTTAGTAATTATTTAACATTAAGAAAAATCTAGAAAAAAATAATACAATTTATACAACCTGAAATGAAGTTTATTACAAATATTTCAGTGTTCGTATTAACATAATATTACAAATATTTCAGTGTTTGTATCAACATAAATGTTATGTGTTAAATTAATACTTTCTTAAAGACACAATGGTATTATCGATACAATGCACAATAAATTCAGATATAGGTACCACGAAAAATTCAACAAAAATACTTTTATACCATAACATTATACAGTCCTTGTTATGGCACATTAAACTCGTTCTTTTTCTCTCATATAATATAGTATGATATATATTTTTCCTTATACTAAAATGCATACATTTAAGTATTATACGTATATTATAATTAAGTATTCTAAAATATAAAAACTCCTTTCTCCTACAATGATGCAGTTCAGTGCTTTAAGTATCGTTTAATCCATTTAACATCATTTGATGTTAAATAATAATCGTATAACAATATTTTGAATTTCATTATTTTAAAATTAATCATATCAAAAGATAAATAATTCCAAGATTTTATAGAGAGTAAAATACCCATCGTACTATATATCATCATTTGTAAAAAAAAAAAAAACATATACTGTACCGATAACACCAAAATTGTTCATGCATTAATAAGCAATGTGAGTTTTCTTAAATTAACATAACTTAAGATAAGGTATTGTAAAAAATAAAGTAATTTCGATTCAAATTCCTAATATTAATTAGGCCTTGGTCAATACAAAAATCATCTCACTTTAGCTGGATTTGAACTTTTTTGTTGGGGTTTCTTCTACTACTTCCATAGTTGATGTTTCAACGGCTATTCCTAATAAATTTGCCATTTATATATGTTGTTGATATGTAAAATACAATATTATACATACGTGATAAGAATTCATGTAATTTTTTCGGTACACATGATTTTGCTTTTTCTAATTGTTCTGCAGTACTTGTACCTGTATTAAGACCTAAGTATATATATATATATAAAGAACAAAAAAATTATTAACAGAACTAAATTGTATTATAAATATTTGAATATATACCTAGTGACAGATTCATGCTTTTTAATAAATCCATGTCTTCAACAATTTCATAACTGTTACTAAACCCAAATAAATATTCTTTCCTGGGAAAAAAACCATTTATATACTATTAATATTATTGATAATTATAGCAAATAACTAACTTGTCTTGAGAAATACTACAATCAATTACAGTTCCAGTATCAGCTTTAATGGCAATAAATGGTAAGCTAAGAACTGAAGCAGAAGAGGGCCGACCATGTATGTGTTCATACTTTTTATTTTTTTCAACAAGTTGCTTAAACGTAACTTGCTGTAAACATAAACAAAACATATTCATGTTAAAAATACATTTTTCAGTTAAAATATTACTTACTTGAACAATTAAATCTTGCAATACAGCTTGTTTTGCATTAAGGCGTGCTATTATATCATCTCGTTCTCGAGTTAATGTTGAAGACTCCTGAAATGAAGTCACAGGCAAACCTATCCATTTAATTTCTTTTTTTTCTTTTGATATAATATTCATGGCCATCAAAACATTTAAAGCATCATACACTCGTCTCCTTACATTTTTTTGGTCATACTAAAAGACAATAAAAATAAACAAAATTAATAAACACAGTTTATTTTTAAATTATAAGTAATAAAATCATATTAGAAATAAACCTAATAGATTTCAGAAAAGTCAGTGTATAAAATAGTATACATTTTTGAAAATGTAAGAATTACAATAAATCATTTAATTTGAAAAATATTGATAATAAAAAAAAATACATTTTTTAAACAAAAACAATTGAACTTTGTTTTTGGTAATTTTCCATTGTGTCTACCTCATACTAAAATTTTAAGAAAATTATAAACTGAAATTCTAAGAATTAAAATTAATATTATTTATAAATAATTTAATTTTTATACTGTCAATCATAAAATCTCCAATGTATTTATATTTTAACTTACTTGTTCAGTATTACTACCCTCTGGATACTCAGCAACAAGTTCATCTGCTACTTCATTATAAGTAGTTACCATTTTACTACGCACTTTTTCACATACACGCATGGCAAAATGGCGTAAACCTTTTCCAGGTTTTTCATTTCGTCTTCGTTTACTAAGAAAAACAAAATTAATTAAAGGAAAATGAATTTAATATATATTTAAATCTTAGGATAAGTTAATTAGGTATTAGATTAAAAAATGATTTGGTACATGTGATTTCCTACTATCAGAACCAAAATTGCCATGTGAGCCAAATTACTAAGAAAATGTTATTATGATGAATAAAAATGTATTAACAACATAAATTTATACATGTAGTTTATAAATCTCAAAGAACTAGTTTCTTCTAATACAGTCCCTTTGGCTCTCGCCACTTAAAAGTAATACAATTTTGTGAAATCATATAGTATGTGTATGGCACAATTAAAGATATATATAAGTAATAATGATAGATTGTTAATATTAGATACAATAATAATGATTTATAGAACTAAATTAGTATGGAATTAAAATTATTTTAATAGATGATCAATATTTAAACATTCCAGTACATTTTGTTGATTAATCAAGTTAATTCTTAATAACAAAATGAAAAACAATATATTTATAAACCACTGAGATAGATTTATGGATTAATTGTGTAACAAAATTAAATTTAGTTTGTACTAAATTGTGTACCTAATAGAAATTAATTATATTAATAAAAAGATAAAAAATAATAAACAAGATTTTATTTGGAAAGGGGTTAATATTGATAGTTGATTATTCTCTTTATTTAAATAATTACATTATAGTAATTTATATAGAAATTATTTGTACAATCATAGTATAATAGTATAACAGGATCTCATATAATTATAAATTGTTCAAAAGAAACCAAATTAAGAACATTAGAACTTAGATTTGAGTTATGAAGAAGTATACTTTAAAAAATCAGAATATTTTTTTTTAAATATATTAATATATGAATGAGAATATAAAATAGTTAATTTAAGTTTAATAAATAGTCATTGATAACAGCTTATTTTAAATTAACCCCTACTTTTTGTGTTCATAAATATATCATAATTATACATATCTTATTTTATAATTGATTCAACATAATAAACATATGATTATTGTTATTAAATTAAAGTATTTGTTTATAAAATTGATTTAATTGAAAAATGGATACCTATATATTTTTTAAACTTAAAATCTAAACAGGTTAATCAACTAAACATTACTGACCATAGTACTATACATATTACTAAACAATTTATTCCAAGATCTAAGACAATGAATTTCAGAGCTTTAAATATATGTTAAAAATAGTTAGCCATTAGATATATTTTTAAGAAGGTAAGCGACTCTTTGATTTACTTACATTATTGTTTTACAGAACATAAATAATAACTATACAACAATACCTTTATAATTTAATTAATTAAACTTTTTTAACACTCGCTATAGACTATATTTGTATGCATAGGTATTTTTAAGATTTTGAATCATTAATTTGATATAATTTTTTAATTTAAGTTGCCATGTATAGATTTTCTAGTCACACAGAAAAGAAGCCAGTAATGGAGCGAAGAACTGTTAGAAAGACTGAATGAGATGTATATTCTATAAATGATGGATTCCCTAGTTGCAGAGGGTCATATTTTATATTTCCTATGACCAGAAAGGTTAATAATTATGTGGTATGATTTCATTTTGGTTTTGAAATTGATTTCAGATTTTATGAGGGAATTGAATAGGTAGAGACTATGATAAGACTTTTTTTTTTTTAATTATTATTTTGGAGTTAAGTTTTCTTAATTAAATTAAACACATTTGTACTTAATGACTTGGCTTCAACCAAAATAATTTAAATTATTAATTGTATTGTCTTTATTTAATCAGGGTGCATTATTATTTTTAGACCTAATAAAAATTTATCTAAAATGTCATATAATTACAATAATTTTGAAGACATTTTTTGTATAGATATATAATTCTATACACATTGTTTGATAATAAATATGTGTAAATATTTTAAAGACCTCCCAACAATATAAATTAATTTGTTTTAGATAAAAAAGGTAAATGGCTACTTCATTCCACTAAATTCCTTTTAAACCGAGCACATAGTATGTCTGGTATAATACTTAAATTACTTATTTATAATTTATTCAAGTAAATTATAGAAATTATTTGTGTATCTTGAGGTTATAAATCTAACCACCAATATGTTTAAAAAAAATCCCTTCACTCAATTTAAAATAGGTAATAGGTTTTTTTATAGTCACTACATAGTAGACTATTTCTACTATATAGTAGGAGGTATATATTAGCCAAAAAACAAATTTACTTTAATATTTTTAAAATTAAAAAATAAGCACAATAGGTTAGTATAATTTCATTCCAATAACATTATGATTATAGGCCATAGATTCATACACAATTTTTTATCTAATATTATTTAATTTTATTAAATTAAATTGTTCTGTATTATAAACAATAATAGAATAATGTTAAAATATTGGAAAATATTAAATCGAAAATATGTATAAACCAATAACAAGGACTACCAGATTACCTTTGTCTGAATGTAAAATACATCGTTTTTGAAATTTTTAAAATGTTTGTTGAAAAATTCTTAATTATAAATTTGAATTTGAACAATAAACATGAGGTATTTTGAATTTTCATAAACTCAAAGTTGGTCTAAAAGTATCCAAAATGCACTCCAAACATACCAGAACAAAGCAATTTTTGATTATACAGGAAGTACACTTTTAGAACGTATTAATTTTCAAGTCCAAGTAATTCAAGCAAATAATAACTAATTATATATAATAGCTATATAGTTGTCCATATAAATACGTACTAAGCGGGAATAGGGGCCATGTTAACAATGGGAACTTGACTGGTGTCTTCGTTTTCCTGTTTGACGACTACGTAGGAGGATGTTGAAGACGACGAAGACATTACGTACCCAGCGGGCTTACGTGACACGAACAGATCTGTTCCAAATTATAAAAAAAAAAAAAAATTATAAACCAACACAAAAAACAAACGCTTCCAACAAAATAGTACCATAAAAATGTCGACGGGACGCACGTTATCATCAAGTTCGCTTAGCATCCAAGTGATAACGAATGTTTGGCGGTGTTTGTGATCGGGCGGGAAAATTTTTTTCCTTCCTCAAACCCCTAAAAAATGGAAAATTTTTTTTATATTATTGAAATTGACATTCAACTATAGTAAATTTCGATAAGAACCAATATCATTTGAATGATTCGTGAGACCAAATAATGTGAAAATCGCGAATGTTATAGGTTTACTTTCACTATTTCCATTGTCTATTAATACATTTTTATACATTATGTATGATATACTTTTGTCTATATGACTCATAAGTTTAAAGCATTAGAAAAAAAAAATCAAAATAAAAAATTCAGCCGTCCAAATATGAAATGATTATGATTAGGGTAACCGATCTTGAAAAGTCTCCTAATATATTGAAATTCAAATAAATCAACTACCAAAAAACCGACTCTAAAATAAGGACTTGAACTTAAACAATTTGAAATAAAATTTCATCAGCCTATTCATATAATGTACCTACTAGATAAAATTAAAATCTAAATAAAATGATTACTACATTATGTTTAGAAGTAAATCTATAATAATAATCAACTTTTCCAAGATTTCTGCCGTCAGCTATTGTAAACCAGACTCATTCAAATGTTTTTAAATTAATTTAGAATCGCCATATCGTACGATAGCAGACTACTCACGCGTTTTCTATAATGGTTTAATAAAACAATAAACTATCTCATTTAATAATTAGATATATATAAAATATATATTCGTTATAAAGGTATTGATGACTCAAAATTAATACTTTTGAATTGTAAGAATGTATACGATTTAATTTTCAATTTAAAAAATTGCTAAAACTGAATTATTGTAAGAATAAGTAAAAAATAGTTATTGATTAACTCCGAGGAAAATTTCATAAAAGCGCGGTAAGATTAACAGGCGCGCATAAACAATTTACCAGTTGAAGTACGAAACAAGTAGTCTATCAATTATTTTAGGTTAAGTTCTTATCATAATTTATCATTTTTAATATCACGTATCTACTATCAGTATGATTCATATTATCTACATAGATAATAAGGCTACTATATGTTAAAAGCATGGTTTGATATTTTACATCATGATTGTAAAGTTTCTTTTTTATCAATGATTATGTGTGATTAGCTCCCGCATTATTTTTTAAATGTAATAATTGCTTTTTTAACTACTTAACTTTTTTCACTGCAAAAATATCTAATTTAAATTTTTATTAGTTGCGTACATTATTTTTTTTTTTTACCATCTACATTATTCATAACATACATGAACGATATCAATAGCAGTACTAATGCCAATTGTTCTATGACCACCGTAAAGTCATGTTCTCAAGTTTCAAGAAGGAAATTATATTGCAGTTTTTGCTTAATAGACCTCTGGCATGAACACACATATATTAAGTGTGCGTCTGAAGCTTGTGTCAAATCTGGTATCACTATTTGCCTTTCTTGTTTTGCATCGGGCAATGAAGATGTTGTTCATCACAACTCTGATCCATACCATGTGCTGTGCAACGCAGTCAAAATTAATGACTCTTTGTGGTCAGCTCATGAAGAAATTATTTTACTTAATACATTCGCAGATACCATGTCATGGGAAAAAGTTGCCCAAAAACTTGGCAAATCAGCAAATGAATGTGAATCTCATTATTTTAATGATTTTGTATTATATCCCAAAATTAAATGTTTAGAAAATATAAATAAAATTTCATTTAGATTTAATAAATTCAATGAATTAGTTAAAGACAAAACAAAAATTATTGGCGATTCATTGGATTTAGAAGGTATTTATATATATAAAGTGGATGCTGCTTATAAGACTCACTTTGAAACCAGCACAAAATGAGTCATATAACTGAATGAACCTTATAAGCAAAGTAGAGAAAGGGTAGAACATATTTGAATATATCTGGACCATCGAGCGTCAGAACCTTATATTCGTGAGTCTTATAAGCGGTGTCCTCTGTATTAAATATTTTTAATACAGTGGACCTTCTCATATCTAATCTTTTTTTTTTCTTTTTTAGACTCATATCATCAATATGAATTAGCTATTCGTTTAGCTGGGTTTCAACCAGCACGTGGAGAATTTGCAGAAGAATATGATGATCAAGCTGAATGTATTTTAGAATTATTAACTGAACCAGTTTGGAATGATACACCTATGAAAAATCGTATAAAATCAAATGTACTGTACCAAAATCTGGATGCATCTATATTTGATATTTATAATGAAAGACTGAAAGAACGATATAGAATAAAACAAGTTGTTAAAGACTATGGACTTATTGCATTTAATAAGCATCAATTATGGATAAAGTCCATGGAGGTAGAGATAATATTTAATAATTTAACATTTTCTTTTAAAATATTTTTTTTAAAATGTTTTACTTTTAGATTATATTGGGCCCAGAAATGATACAAAAATTAATTCGTTATTTACACCTACTTAAACCATTAGCATTTGATTTCCTCGTGACTAATCTAAAACAAGAACATGAATTATTAGCTAGAATCCATAAATTGATTGAATATCGTAAAAACGGTTTGGCTAAGATTGCGCAAATAAATGTTTATAAAGAATTGTGCATCAAAAGAGAAGAATATTTAAAAAATAGGCCATTAGGTTCTACAACACTAAAAATAATAGAAAATAAAAAGCCACGCATTAATGTTTTTAACCTACCAGGCTATCAAAAATTAGATAATGACGAAAGGGAGCTGTGTGCCTTGATTAAAATGTTACCTGAATCATATATAAAATTTAAAGAATTACTTGTACATGAATGTCAAAAATCAAAAGGGATAAATTTAAAGACTGCGAGGAAGTTGGTTAAAATTGACGTTAATAAAACAAGGAAAATTTATAATTTATTGATAAGTGCAAATGTCATATGGGAATATTCTCAGAACTGATAATAATAATGTTTATATTCTGTTTTAATCTAGGAAAAATATTCTTTATAATCATATTGTACGTCTGAAATAAAACAAAAATCAATATACAATAATTCTTTTTTATTTTTAAACAATAATAAAATTAAATCTAACAAACATTTAATCAGTTAATTTAATAACAAAATTGTTAAAGATTATTAAAAACATCTATTTTAATCTATTAAATAGATATTGTATCAATTAAATTATAATCATAACTATTTAATTTATTGGTTGTATTAAAAACAATATTTTTATTATATACTTTTATACATTAAACATCACATTTGCAAGTAATTGTTGATATTATATTATTATTTAAAAATTGATATGGTTAGTTGTAATTATTATTGAATTATGGCTTTTTGTTGGGTTTTTTTTCCTGACAACTTAGAATTTTTTATTTATGAAAATGTTCTTTGATAAAATGGCTACTTTAGGAATAAATCTGTGGAAAAAATTCTAAATACTATACAAATATAAGTTATTCATTTTAGTATTTTATGGGATATTATATATATTAATAGTTAATTTATGTAGGTAGAAATATAAGTAGGTAATCTACTTTAAACTATTAGTTATTATACACTGCAATAATAATGTTATAGATAGTTCAATAAGTGTAACGGTGGTAGTAGATTATTGCTTAGCAACAGTTATTGCTGAGAGTGTGGCCATATATAAATTAACTGTAATTACAAATTTAAACATCAGTAATACATCTTTTATAATGTACAAAATGCAGAAGGATTTATCTACTCAAAATGTTAAGTTTGCCCATGTAGGTTTTTTCATTGTTTGTGAACAATAGTCTTTATTATTTTTAAATGTGTTTAAATTTATTTTATTCACCCAAGTTTTTATTAGTTCTAAAGAAAAATTCTAAATTGAGTTATATTATTTATTTATATGTCTAATGAAAATAAATTAAGTAGGTACCATTAAATTGTACAATTTTAACATTTCCAATTCTACTTCTGTGTTATATATTATTTATGTACATGTATAATGTATATATTAGCATAACTATAGAAGGCAATGGGTATTATATATTTGTAACACTTTTGAAAACCTGTTGTGACAAATGTACACAATAGAAGTGGATATAAGTCCAAAAATTACTGATTTTATTTATTTACAATAAATTCTATGCAGTAATTACATTATAATAATTATATTTTATATGAATAGTATAGAATAAACTAAATTAATCTTCACTCTTCATTATATTTCATCATCAAAATAAAAATCACTATAATCGTGTAGAGGTGCACTTTAGTTTAGCTCATAGTATTATTATACTAAATTATCAAAATATATTTTTATGTTTTGGCTGGTTTGAAATAAAAGAGAAAGTAAATGCAACGCAGATCCTGCTTTAACATAAAATAGAGAATTTATTCACTCAAAAAACATGAGTTTCGAAGAAACAGATGAAGATAACTGATTATTTTGTATAGTACCTAACTAAATTTGCATATGTATGTACATTGTACACCTTATTGTCAAACGTAAGAAATAAATCACAAACAGAGAGAACTGCGTTTGCACTACTTTTCCGCCAACCGCATCGTTTATTGTTGACAAAACAATTACATAATTGAAAAATTAAACTAGCACTGTAAGTCTACACTATATACTCTTATTATAGGCCAATTTTTAAAATATAAATGCATAAATAAAATAACTAAATATCAATACACGTTAGTTGTAAAATTTCTGTTAACCATCTTTTCAATTAACTGCCACAGTTCAGGTTTCGACGGTAACGATTACTCAAGGTTCTATTGTTTAGTGTTGGTGGGTTTTCAATAGTTGTATAACCAATAATAATTAAAAATTAGCTAGGTATATTTTACTACTTACATTTACAAACTTAGGAAGTGAAGACTGTTATTTATGTAAATGGCACATAAACACACGGTTAAAAATATTTTAAATATTATTGATCATTTATAAACTTTTGAAAATAAAATTGATAAATGATTATTATTATTAGTGTAAATTCAATTCGGCCATAAAGCCAACAAACAGAATATCCGCGTACATCAATAAGCATGTAATAGATTTTTCTTTATTATGGACGCAATTCGCAGTTATATTGTTGTGACCGAAATATTTTCTTTTTATAAATAAAAGTATGAAAAAAAAAATTACAAATACCACTAATGAGTGCGCCACTGTTGTAGGTGGGCAGTTTAGAAAGTAGGATATAGAGGGGAATTTAATGTACTTAAGTCCTATATCAGTGAACAACGACAAATCATTGCTAACAAAAAAAGTATTCTGAACGGAGTTTGCAGTTTGATTTCAATGCTTTTTCAACAATATATATCACATATTATGGTAAAGTAATTAAATTGGCATTTTACATTTTCTATAAAAATATTTATTTAATTTTAATATTTTACCGATTTTCTCTTCCTTCCCATGTTTTTTCCCTAATTTTTCACATTTGAAAACTCTCGGAAAATCAAAAAAAATAACCTCCCTAAAATACCTACCTTACCAGTCAGATTTCCTTTCAAAAAAAGTGATATCATTGTAAATCAAATCAAAATTGTTAATAGAAAAGTGTTCAACAGAAAAAAAAGCCCGTAAATTTGTCAGTTTTTATTTTACGTTTTTTTGGGGGTTTTAAAATTTTAATTTAAAAATTACCCATTTTCTCAGCAACAAATCCAAAATGAGGAGAAAAGTTAACTTGCCATTTTTTGTTTAAAGCAATATTTGTGCAACATTGTGTGTAAAAATGAAAAACAACGAAACCAGAAACGCTGTGGTGCACCGTTATTATTTACCGGTTTTACAAATTATTTTTAAAACACACTTGAAAATCTAAAAATTACATCTCTATTCGAATCCCGGGAAAAAAAATTCCCAAACAACAATATTACTCACAACCAACTTTATACCTATAATTATTCTATTATAGTTTTCAAACATAAACAATAATATTTTGTTTTATTGCGATATATTATGATAATCACTCATCTTATTAGTAATGGGCTCACAAAAACAATATGGACACTCGCTTTATAAATATTAGCAATGATTTTCAGTGATCCACAATATTATTAGGTTATATTACACTATATACTAGTACAGAACGAAAAAGCTATGGAATTTTTTTAAACTAATAGTAAAAATCCTAAAATTTCGTGCAACGGATTTGTTTATCATTTTCAAAAAATGTGCTCTAACTTTATACATCGGCGATATTCTAAATTTAGATCTTTAAAATGCCGGAATATACTTAAGACTAGTTTAAATATTTAAAATTCAATATTTGTAGGCCTTGATCATGAGCATGTACATGATTCTAATAAAAATGCAGTCGCTGCTTTAAAATTTAAAAATACAATGAACGAAAAAGTAAAAATATCCCATGCGATACCTAGTCAAATATTTGCTGAGTCTGTTAGTAATATATCGAAAAACACGTTAAACGGATAATTTGAAACAACAGAGGTTACAACGACCCTTCAAAATCATTACGAATAAAAAAATTAGTCATTGAAGGTATAATTTATATAATTTTTATATGATATTGCTATAAATTTAAAATTTTTTGCATTTTGATTACAATATAATTTACAAATTTTAATGAATTTTGTCAACATTTGAACTTGTTGAATGAAAGAAAAATTGTATCTTTAATATTAGCATTATTATATACATTATACGTATACGCACAATTTTTGACAAGTACCTATCTACTTTTAACTTTAGTTATAAAAAAATAATACATATACAAATACGGAAATATCAAATAGGTACCTATAAATAACTTAAAAATAGCTAGAATGTTTTGAAAATTTTACTGCGTCTACAAAAAGCTAATATAAATATTCTGTGAACGCTAGTTTTTTTTATTAAGAATATTATAAATGTAAGTTCTTCTACTAAAATATTTAATTTCTTCGATTAATTTAATATTTCGTCTTATCCCATGGTATTTGAACCGCCGCCATCTGCACAGAAGATAGTTGCATGGAACAAATTTAAAACCTACTTAGCAATAAATCCAAACAATAGAAAAATAGTTAAATAGGTATTGAACATAAGTATAAATAGGTATTCCGATTACCCTCTATGCACCAACTAAATAAAATTTCATTTCAATAAAGGTGCTACACTTGGAACATTGGAGATATTTTTCTATTCAAAAAATTGTTCCGACTGAATAAAATATATAGTAAAACCAATAGATTCTTTGCTCCATTCCAAATCTAAAATAAATAAGTGAAAATAGCTTGTTACAAACTGAAACGTTTAAAACGTCGTTATTGTTTTAAACAGAATGTTTACATTATAAAGCTATTTCTTTTTCATCTTCATGAGAATAAATTTTTTAACAGTTCAACATGAACACATTTCATTATATACACAAATAACAAAATAAAGATGATTCATGAACAAAACTAAAATATAATAATAATGATAAAATATTATAACAAGATATTATATTCTTAATATTATATAAATTAAATAAATTATTTGTAACAAATTGGTTATGGCTATAAAAAAAACGAATAAAACAAATTAGCAACAGTAAAATATTAACAATCATAGGAAATACAATATTTGTAAAAAAAAAAATAATAAAAAACATTTTAAGTGAATACATGTATAAAATATTTGTGTATAACTACCTATAGAAATTATTAAAATAATAACAATATTTAATTTGTTGATCGGCATTTATGTTGAAATTCTATATCCAATATTATAGGTCTATAAGCAAATGCTTTAAATAAAATATTAGTTGCATGCATTTACTTTTTTGGACAACATTGAATAAATTTAAAAATAAAATACTCAATATAATATAATAGCCATTTTATAGGTAAGCCTATCGATAATCGGTTCTTCGGTATATATTGCATAGGTATATATCTAAATCAGTCCCCACACACATATAATATATAGTTATTTACATACACTAGTATAATAAATAAACAGGTATTATACATGTAATTTTACCTACTAATTTAAATCAGTTCTTTGGTTGCTGTTCACTGGGGTTGTTGCCAAACACTTTAAGCTCATTTCTCAATATTTTACCGGATGGATTACGTGGGATTATGTCTAAGAACTTTACACCACCAGCTAATTTTTTGTACGCTACCACGTTCTTTGCGACATGGTTCAATATGGTCTTTTCGTCAATGCTTGAACCCGGTCGTTTTACAACAAAAGCCCTGGGTATTTCCCCTGAGAGCACATCTGGGATGCCTACTACGGCCACATCAGCCACTTCTTTCAATTCTGAAATCAAATTTTCCAGTTCAGTTGGAGACACCTGTAAATTTTAAAAAAAATTAGTTAAATTACAATTTTTTTATAAGTATAAACAAACGTTTAAATAACTAAAGCAATTAACAACTAGTTATCTATTTGTTCTAGGTAGCCAGTTTGTCACTAATTCAAACATTTACCTATTGTTTTCACAATGAGAATTTTTTTACATTTTCATTATTAGGTTTTACATTAAGAAAAAACTCAGGAGAATGGATATTCCCACCTCTACCTAAGGCGACAAATGGAGTTGTATCACGTTGACAGCCTGTAAAAAACTATGTAAACCAGGATAAGGCGTTCTCAATAAGACATGAGCGGATTTTGTCATTATTTCTGGCTGATCTCTAATAGGTTGGGATGAAGGCGATGGAGAAAAAAATATTAAGAAAATAAGTTTATAATTTTGACTAATACATTGTCTAATAAGACATTAAAAAACTTATTAAATGTTTAGTAGGTACTGTTTTTAATTTGATAAAATAATTTGAGCATATATTTTATTAGAACTAGAGTACCGAATTTACCATGAGAAATCTGAAGACATTTCTTTGTTATTTCCTTAGGTAAAAAGAACCCAGATAGACAGCAAATAATGCTACTGTTACTTGTTAATTTTTAAATAGGTTAATATTGTATTAATATAATTGTATACTTTATTTAAACATATTTTATCATAAAATATAGATACCTACATACAAATTCCAATTGTACCTAATTTAAAATAAATTTCTTACACCTTATAATTGGTTGTGAAGAAAAATAAATCGGATAATTAGAATACGTACCTATTTTATATACCCATCAAATATATTATTGTGAAAGGTATAGCAGGTGATATATTTTTAGACCATGCATATTTACAGCTACATTATAAATAATTAAGTAAATTAAAATAATAGGTAGGTATCTATTTAATGAGATTAATCAATGTTTATCAAAATTTATACTATTATTACTAATTATAATGAACATTTCATAATGGACTATGATATTTAATTAGGAATTAAGACAAGTGGGTCATATAGGTGGGTACTTTTTAATTTTTTAAACAATATTTTATTATCAGTAATGTACTTAATTGTTTATATAGGTAGGTATCTATCATGGACATTATAGAGAACCTATATTATATTCTAATATTTATATCTCTATGTATACCTACTCCCTAATTAAAACGCTTTTTTAATATTCGTTTAATATGAAAAATTATAAATTGGATAAAACTTAAATGGACAGTATGGCCAGAAAATAGAGGGAGACTTTCAATTTAACTCTCGTAAATACACCAACAGAAATTATTATTCAGGTAGGCCTTTAGCGGTAAACATAATAAAACAATAAGTTAATAGCTTACAAAATAAAATTGGTAAATCTAACAATTTTAAAACTAGAACATGGATAGCATTAAGTAATCATTATTATAATTACCTATATTACCTAATAAGGTTTATACATAATAAAATTATTATTTTATTATAAGCTGAGTTATAGATAACCATAAACTTTGATTGGCTTATTTAGATACCTAATTTTTAAAATTTTTAAAATTTTTAAAAGTTAAACGAAAAAAAGTGTTAATCTTCAAGAGGGCCGACGCGGCGGTATAATCGAGAAAACGTTGTTCGTAAACATGTTAACACTGTTTCACAATGAGCACGCATGCGCGCCACACGCCCGCTATGGTTTTCTTATCTATTTTCGTTGTGCTTATTTTTCAGCTACCGCTTGGTGTTATTATAATTATTTGTTATATTTGTTGTTTACGATTTTTTGTTATTTCTGTGCACGGTTCGTCTCACTGACGCATTATATTTCGTTTTACTGCGCGTAGTGCAGCTGTCGTGTAAAAATCGAAAACGATAACACATACACGGGTCGGAAACAATTCATGTTACTGTCAAGTACCTTACAACGAGAATAATGATCGAAAACGCAGAACTCGTCATGCAAATGCTGGAGATGTACCAGATGTACAAACAGCAAGTTCCCGTGGAACTAGAAGAATATCTGAGATACGTCGCTAAAACGGGCAACACGTTGTTCCAGTGGACGTTGGTCAAGCCGTTCATCCGGGAAAAAATATTGAATGTCATTGCTGAGTTCGCTGAACATTCGTCCATTGCCGACATACCACCGTACCCGAATGTAGATCCGTTTAACTATGAAGCCATGAAGACTGTGTTGCTAGAACGTTTTGATACATTCAACGGACCCCCTTTTACCATACAAAGGCTCTGCGAACTTCTGTCATGTCCAAGAAAAGAGTACAGTCGCGTAGATAAGTTTATGCGAGCAGTAGAGAAAAACATATTGGTTGTAAGCACTTGTGAGTTGAAAGTAAAACGAGATGAAACAATTGTTAATGGTGTCCCAGATAGATGGGAAAACGGAAAAGATTCAGACATTAATATGGATTTGGTTGATAAAGGTAATGTTATTTCAGACATAAAGGTTCTGAATGATAATGAAACTGTAGAAAGTCTTTTGGACGAACTAGAATCAATGAAAACACCTATAAATACTAAATTAGATGAAATAAAGACTGATCATAAGGTTGATCAACAACAAAATCATCTTGTTGCACAAGTTATGGAAGAATTAGAACCAGCCCTTTCAACTGAAGAACCCAAACAAGATACTCAAGTGGTAGGTACTGATCCACCTCGAACACAGATTACGAATACAGCAGAAGTTGTAGAGCAAGTCAGTACTGATGTTACCGAAGTCGTAAATGAATCGGTAGTTGATCCATTAAAAGAGCAAACCACTGAAGGAATTAATGAAATTCAACCGGTTGAAATAGATGAACCTATAGTTGAAAAACCCACTGAAGAACTTAACATTTTATCTAACGATATAAATCTTGAAAATGTTGAACAGAAAACTGAAGAACCATCAATTGTTGAAAGTAATAAATTGGAACAACAACCAGAATTAATACCAACAATAGATTCTGATCGAGTAGAAGGTTCTATTATTCATCAAACTCCAGATTCTGATATTAAAGTAGAACTGGATGTAGCCACCTCACAACCTGAAGTTGAATTAGAAAAATCAAATAAAGATGTTGAAAATATGGATGTTCAAGTTGAAGATCTAGTCGAAGAAGCAACTAAATGTATGGAATCGGAAGTAAACTGTGATAGTGTACACGAAAAATGCACAGAATCTATAATAAATGAAGATAAAAAATGCCAAGACAATGTTGACGAATCTACTGTTGATGTGCCTCCTAATGTACCTGATATGGAACCAATTTCTACAGAAATGGATGTAGAGTCTGAGAAAATTGAAAATGATAAGCCTACTGAACAAGAAACAGTCTCAGTAAATGAAGAAAATACCAAGATAACTGAACCTAGTACTGTTGTTGAAGAACTTCAAGAACAGGATGAAAACAAATTGACTGAAAGTAAATAGTCTTAGTAAATATTAGACCTAAATGGATATTAATGGATAATATGTACATTGACTGGTTAGATTAATATTTAAATTTGATCAATTAGGTAAAAAAGATGTAAAGTTTAATTTGTATACATGATGAATTCAGAATAAGTTATTTCATTCAATGTATAAAATTATTTGCAAATATTGCTTCTTTAATTTGATAATTAATTCAATTTTTTTTTTTTTACATATTTAATTTTAAATAAATATAAATTTAAACAATTTTTTTTGTGTTTGTCTTCAGAAACTTATAAATTGAATAAAATTATTTCTTACAGTACATTTGTTAAAATATGTTTCACTATTTTAATTTAAATCTTATAGTTAACATTATTTATTTATAATGTACTTATATAGATATTGTTAATACCTTGCGTACTTTTACTTATAAATTCAAGTTGTATCTGGGAAAGTACAATTTATACATTCATTAACTAATTTAAAAAATCTTTATCTACTATTATCTGTAAATTTTCATTCCTAATTTAATAGACTTATAAAATGCACTGTATATTGAATATTATACTTTATTTTTTAATTTACTTACATATAAATTAAAGAAGTTGTTAGTTGAAAAAAATATTGCACTTTGGTTTTTAAATTATTAAATTACATTTTTATTTAACTATATCCTTTTTTAAATGATGATATTGATTTATGACAGAAAAATAAAGTTACTAAATTTATTGAATATTTTAATCATCATAAAGAAAAATTAAAATACAAAAATCTTAAAAAAATTATTCTTCTACACTAGGTATACCCCAATATGATTATTGTCACAAAATTTGTTAAAGTATAAATTATTTATGAAGACCTTGAAAGTAACAGATAGAACTTAATGAATGAAGTCCTAAATAGAGTGGTACTGTAAAAAATGTCATAGATCAAATTGTTATTAATTCAAAATCGGTGTATTATATTTAATATATTAAGACTTAAAAATTTTAATCTGGGTTTTTCTGTGTACTGTAATAAAAAAAAATATAAAAAATAATGTAACTAAGTAACAGTGTTGAGAAAGTTCCATTTAAAAAACTAATTTGTTCCCATTCCTTGTTTCTTTTACTAAATTTTTATCATTTTAAATAGTCAATTTTATTACCAAGACACTGTTTATATCATAGTTACAATGATTTATATTAATATTATCATATAATGTACCTTATAGTTAATAAAAATAAAAAAGTTGGGGCTACATTATTGCAATAATATATTGTGGTAATTTATTAATAACTAATGAAGTGATACCAATACTAAATAATTTTTAAACAATATTATCATTAAAATAAGGTGAGTTTCATTTTTTTTTTTTATATATAATAGGAGGAACAGAAATTTCACGTTCCTCGTCCCTATATTTAAAAAGAAACATGATCCAACATGAACGCATTCTTTCCCAACATTAGTACAAGATATATAAGTTGTATAGTTAAATAAATCTAATAATAATAATATTAATTTGCTATGAGAAAGAAATAATTAAATGATGAATACAATCATTTATTTCGATACATACGTGTAATGTATACATTTTTTATCATTAATTGTTTTAATTATATAATAACTTATCTAATAAATCTTAAAATTTTCTTATATTTTATATTGTTTATGTGATAATTATTGTCATAACGAATTTGCTTCAATGTCAATTAATAATTTTATGCAGATAAATACTGTTGAAGTTATAAAAATTAGTTTATGGGCAGTTCAAAGTATATTTTAGAAATATATTGCTTGAATTATTTATTAAGTATATGCACTCAAATCAATTAGTCAAAAAAAAAATAACTATAAATATTTCTTATGTAAAAGAACCATTACTTAATTTAAAAAGTATATATTTAAATATTATTGATTACAATTATTAGTACAATAGGGTATAGGAAAATAAAATGATCAAATTGTTAAGAACACTAAATTTTAAATAATATAATAAAATAATTGGAAACTTCACTAAAAAAGTATAGAATTAACATGATAGACTCAGTCCTATAGTTATTAAACATTTATAAACAGAATAATTATAAGCCAACAGTGTATATTCACATTAAATTTTAAAAGACTATTTAAACAAATCGGGCATGTTTTTTTATTATGAACCCAAATCATTATGAAAATAATCAGTTGAAAAACAATTATCTTTATTTTAAATTTCTGTTTGATTTGAAAATCTATTCATACATATTTTATAAGTCTAAATGTTTAATCAATGCTTAAAATAAATCTACATATTTGATATACATGAAATAGTTGTATATTATCTATATATTATTATTTTAGTAGTTGTCAGTTATGTAAATGTAGATGTAAGTAGATACTTTTAGTAAAGTATAATTAAATTATTATCTTAAAAGGTTAACCTACTCATAAGAAATACAATTGCCAAAATCATGTTTTTATTACTTTTTATAGTGTTGCTCTGATAAGCATATGCATATAAAATGTATAGATTAAATTAAATGTGTACTTACTTGATTTCCTTTAACTTTAATTAACTCTTTGGTCCTATCTACAATGAAGAAATATTCATCCTCGTCATAGTAAGCAACATCACCTGTGTGTAACCAACCATCTTTGTCCACAGTTTCTTTTGTTGCTTTTTCGTTATTCAGATATCCAACCATTACCTGAAATAATATAAATTATTATAAAAATAATAATAATTATTATAAAAAAATATAGGTAAAAAATATTATTTTACCTGGGGTCCTCTAACCAAAAGTTCTCCAGATTTATGGGGACCTAAGTCCTTGCCATCAATTAAACTAATAACCCTAGCTTGAGTACTTTGTACAAGTTGCCCAGTACTACCAGTTTTGTTCGCAGGTAATGAAACTCTTGTATATAAAGACACAGGGGAAGATTCAGTCATTCCATAACCTGAAAACGTTTAAAAGATTAAAAAAAAATATTTTACAATGTAAACACAGTACTACCTAGAACTGTTTTGTAACAATGTTATTATTACCTATTACCATTTTAGTCATTTCCCTTTTAATAATTACTGTTTGTATTTATACACAACTTTTATAATACTCCAGACTTTATTTTATTTTTTTTTGTATACATATCTATTTATTAATTTGTTTTGCATATATAACTCCTCTAAATATTTTTTTTTTTGAAATTTAATTTATATTTCATAACATAAATACATTTAATGAATTGGATATCTAGCAATATTGTGAAACAATAGTGTTTGTATTATTTAAGCGTTCAAATTCTAACCTTGTCTAATTCTTATGTCTTTTTGAGCTTTATGAAGAAAACTGTCAATCAGAGCTTTTGATGCTGGTGCAGCACCACAAGTGATTTCTTTGATTGAGCTTAAGTGTTCTGGTTTTACTGACGGATGAGAGGCTAGGAACAACAACAGTGAAGGCACCACAAATAGAAAAGTTGGCTAAATCATAATTATTTTCATGTTAATAGGAATTTAAATACACAATTTATTTCTTAGTCTTAAAGTAAATGAGTTAAATTATGCACCTTAAATTTAAATACACACTCTATGTATGATTCAGGAGTAAATTTTGGTATAGTAATCATATGAAGACCATGAGCTAAAACTCCATTTAATATTCCATTAAACCCATAAATATGAAAGAATGGTAAAACACTCAAAACTCTCTCTTGGTACATGTCTGAAAAATACCATAAGTATAAGTGGTAAAGTAAAGTTTTTCAAAGAGTTACTAATATTATTATTATTATTCAAATTAGTATGTATAATAACCAGTTGTTGGCATGTAACTTATGATTTCTTTGTGTATACACTGTTCCAAATTTACAGCACAGTTTCGGTGTGTTAACATAACACCTTTTGGCAGTCCTGTTGTTCCACTAGAGTATGGCAATAAGGCCACTTCGTCGGGGTAAGATTCCGGTAGTTCTTCGGGCGATTGTCCTGAAACTATTGTTTTGAAATCATACACCCGATTTTTTTCGTTCGCGACTTCTTCACCGCCAAATACTATGGTGCCCGTGTAATTTTTAAGACTAGGAGCCACTTCTTGGATAACAGGTAGTAATAATGAGATTGTCATGCAAAGTTTTACTTGGGCGTTCTCGAACTGCCGTTTTACTTCCACTAAAAAAAAAAAATTAAAAAATTAACGTAACTAAAACTAGTAAAAAATGAGTAGGTATATCTATAAAACCTATACAACTAATATGCACAATATCTTACTAGCAGTGTAAAGAGGGTTGACAAAGGTAACGACAAGCCCTGCTTCAAGAGCTCCGTGGATGGCAAAAACATATTCTGGTATATTCGGTAATAATAGTCCCACCACGTCACCTTTTTTCAAACCCAGTTTTGAAATAAGTGTACTAGCGAATAATCTGCAAATCATCCGGCCTTCGCCGTATGTGTATGTCCTGCCACTACTACCGCATGTCTAAAAAAAATAATAGTATTTTATTTAAATAAATATTTCTTGATTTTCCTAAACGTGTTATTCTATAATAATAACACAAACCAGGAGAAAATAATAGTCTGATATAATAATAGGTAAACAATACCTATTATTGTTTACAATTAATATTTCTATGTTCTAAATATCTACCTATAAATATTTGATTACAAAAATAAAATTCATTCAAACAATATGTAATCCAAATTATTTCAGTGTACCATTTTAAAAATTTGTTTTACTGTGGTCACGTGCACTATTTTATTTCTATACAAGATTACATTAAGTATGAAAATTGTCAGTCGATAAAACATGCAGTAAGTACCTAAATATAGACCTGAAAATTCAATACCACGTTATATGATAAAAGTATTTAAATTAAATTTGTTAAACCTATGAAAAAAAGAAAAAGAGATCTGTTAGGAAGATATATTTTCATAATATACATAATAGTATAGATAGGTAGATACCTAAATTTGTTATGTAAGTACCTTACGTGTTATTTAAGAAAATGTTTTTACTAAAATAATAATAATAGTACCTATTCGATTTTTTTAAGGTCTAGAGTACCTACTTTAACAGATTTTGTATTGGTTGTTACTTATTAAAGAAAGTGTATAGTTTATACCAAAATACGTTTTATGTCCTTACGATTCTAAACTTGTATAGTTTTACAAAATGTTATTTTGTATATTTTTGGCGTTTTGGATTTTTTGAACATAAAAAGAATTTTGCGAATTTTTAAGACATTCAACTCAATGAATCCAGAATCATTAAATAATTATTTAAGATTTATAAATAGGACAGATATTTGTATATCTGAGCCACACTTACTACTTATATATAAAATACCTATGCCCTAAAAACCTACAAAATATAGAGGTAATATATAATATGCATATACCTATATCCTACATATATATAATATATCTACTTTAAAAATACCAAAATATGCTCTTTAAATGTACCAGATACTGAAAATGTTAAAATATGCAAATTAAAATTATGTGTATTGAATCGATTGATGATGAAACTCATTTTAGTAACTAAAAAATCCTAAAACTAATTTTTATTGGTTTGCAAAAAAATAGTGATGCCAAAATGTGTTACACGATCAATTAATTGATTTTACAATTCTGTATACTAAAAAAAAATTTAATTTTGCATATTTTGGAGTTTTAGATTTTATATATATATGTATATATAGAACCTAGCCATCTTCCATAAATATCTAACTGATCTACCCATGTCATCATAAAGTAGGTTAGTATACCTACTTATTTACTATTACTTAGTTAAACATCCATTACATATTATAACTTGTTAAATGGTGACTGCAAATGTTTATCAAATCATTTAACTTATTATATAATTCATAATTAGGTAATAGGTGAATACAAAGTCCGGTGTAGTAACTATAGAGTGATATATTGATTACCTTTGTTCCCAAACATCTTTAATAATATAAATACATAAATAAAAATTTTAAAAATAGGTTTATTTTAGTTTAAAATCTACTGATTTATGTTAGCTACAGACTTAAAAGACGGTAATTCAAAGTATTCAAAGTTTTATCCATTTAGATAGTATTTTTTCTCGCCATTTTATCAATTTTTACTTATTTTAGGTACCATATTATGTAATTGATTTCCTATCTATATTCAAATATCAATGAAATAACCTAATGAAAAATTGTTATAAAATGATTACGTTCCAAAAAGTAACACTTCATTGTAAAACTGATTATATAACTTAGAATTGAAAATTGGTAATAAACCACGGTTGAAGATATCTTAAATCGTGAAATAAATATAGGTTAGGTAGTTAAGTTTAAACTGAAAAGAAATCTAGTAACAAATGTATACATTGGCGATTCACTCCTTGAACTTTCTTTCAAAATTTCATAGTACGATTATATTACTACAAAATTGGCGAATAGACCTATCGGTAAATCACGATCATCCTGACAGCTTGGCCATAGGTAGGTCCCGGTTGAACCTACCTACATAATTATGGTGAACCACTTTATTGTCTCAAGACATTATTTGATGTTTTAAATTATATTAATAATACAACATTATTGAATTGTACATCTGGAAAAAGTTTATTATTGGTTTAAAAATAACAAAATAAAAATACTATACAACTAAATTTATAAAAACATGTTTTTAATATTGAAACTGTATTTAATACGTTTTATTTTGTTTTTATGTTTTAAACATGTTTTTGTGCCAACTAATTATTAACGTTTAATATACATTGTGATTCCATGTAGTTTCATGATTTCATATTGAAAATTGTTCGTTTTTCTTGCGTTTTTATCGATCGTTTTTAAAACTGCAGGGAAAAACAAAATTTTCTTTCAAAAAAGGTGCTAAATTGAAGTAAGATTTCTGATAGAATTTTTATACACAGCATAAAAAAAAGCTACATTGTAATATCAATAAATTCCTTGCTTCGCTCAGAATCTAAAATAAAGTTTTCTTTAAACTTATGTATAAAACTTCTACCCACAATAAAATAAAAACGATAAAACTTCAATAATTTAAAATAGCTACAAATAGCTCAATAACAACAATATTTTGAAAACTACAATAAGACGTTTAGAAACAGATAATCTAAGTGAAAATAGTGAAATATCACGTATTTCTTCCCAATTCTACAATTACTTCCGTAACTGACCACAACTGAAATAAAAATATTCAAGGATATTCGCTACTTCACGATTTTTTAAATAAATGACGCCTATGAGTTTAGGGATCCCTGAATTCAGTTTCCAATAATAGTAATATAAAATGGTCTTATCCACCATATTATACACATAACATTAGATAAGTACCTGCGATAAATAAAAATATAAAAACCAATAATTACTCAATTTAATCATATTTTAATAGTTCGACCAATCTGTTTATGTATTATATATATATATATATATATATATATATATATATAGGTATGAATATAAGCATAATGTATGACTGAAACGAATTATTAAGATTAAATAAATTGGCATAGTGCAGACAGTAGAATATAGTGTACTAAAGTTACAATCAACAAAACAATTAATAAAAAATAAAACTTGTACTTTATTCAGGGTGTCTTCATCGAGTGTCAAATAATAATAATTCGGCCACCAGGAAATCAAAAACAAAAATTGGTTTGGTTTATAATTATAAATTGTTTCAAAGTTTGCCGAGTTATATGAATGAATGATTGAAACTGGTTCATAGGTATAGTCGGGAAGTGTTCCTCTACCTATTTGGTGTTCCGTGTTATTTAACATCTCCAAAATAAACATTTATAATTTGATAAATTTATTTGTTTTTGTATTAAAAACACAATATTATTTTGTCATTTTATAGAATAAAATAAAATATAATGTATACAAGTTTATAATAATATAAAATACAAATACACCGAATATACCAAATACATCATACATATAGATTACGTTCGGACGATTGGATAATTCTGGACCTACACAGAGACAAATAACGAAATCAAAAACCAGCGTTGGAGTAAAAAAATAAAGTAGCGGTCCATTTATTTATTTTCTTCGGGCCGTCTGTTGCCTACCCCTGGTCTATAACCATGATTAAAATATAATTATGTTATTATAATTATTATGCGTACCAACTCGGCTGTTGATAACCGATAGCGACACACGAAACACTAACATGCGGAATAATATTAATAATACAGATGACAAGGCCGAGGTTTTCTAATATTAATTACGTCAACGTATTGAACGTGGTCATCACTGTTGTTTGTAAGCCGGCTATATTTTCAGGGTATTTTCATATTGCAATAATAATTATTTCAATTCCCGAAACCCGGAAATTGTCATACACATCAATACGTGTCTATGCAGCTATACCTATATAGATAGTGGCACATAATGACTATAACAATTTAATATTGCATTAGCATTAACCTATTTTATTACACATAGGTAATCTATTGAATCGTACTAATATAATGAAATTAAATAAATAACGCACTTTTTTAAACTGCATTATTGTTATATTATAATACAGTATAGCTACCCAAACCGAAATACTGTTGAACAATAATATTTACAAGTACCTAATTACATAATTTTAAATTAAACATTTTCAAAAAAACTCTTTGGTTATAGTTTGTTTAACAAGGTAGTAAGCAATAATATATTTTAATTTATAAATTTGTTCAATAAAATTAATACCTAACGTCTAACGGTTATTAATTGTTATTGGGAAATTCCAAGTTTTTGCATTTCATTGTTTGAATGCAAGTTATATCACCGGTTTAAATCAAATGTTTAATAATTTACACAAAATTAATGAAGTCGAGTTAATAATAGGTATTTATTTCGAAACGATATATTTATGGTTATCGGGTAGTTTTAATTAATAATTTATTTTATAGATTGTAAATTATTAACGCCGAAGTAAAATCAACGAATAACCAAAAATTATTGTTCTTCGATATAGGTACATATTATACAATTTACTCAATAATAATAATAATAATAAAAAAAGCTGATACTGAGAACTGGTGGAACCACTGTTGAAATTGCAGGGAAGGTGGGATATAAAAGGGAATTCAATTTATACATGTACGCAATCATTGTTAAGGAAAAACGATTCTGGGCGCACTTCGGTCAATAGTATTGCTAAAATTGCTTTTTCATCAATATGTATTTTCACGACAACGATTGTTTAAAAAGACTTAAATAATAAAAACTCAATAACAACAAAAACGGTTGCCAATGACAACTTTATTTTTAATCGTTCAATGTTTTTTAACCTAAATACTAATTTATCCTGATTATCTCAAATATTAATGAGAATTTCAAAAAATGACTTTTCTAAAGTACTAACTAGCAAATAGAGCCAAAATACAATAAAAAAGGTCTCTTGTCATGTTTTGATTGGAGCCAGAGTTCTAGAAGAAAAGTTGTTTATAGATAGAAAAAAAAAGATACATACGATACTTTGCATGATAAGCATGGCGACTGTTGTAGGTAAGAAGTTAGAAAGGTAGGATATAAAGGAGAATTTTAAGCATATATGTACGCAAAGATTAATGCTAACGAAAAACGATTCTGAGCGGAGTTCAGTGATACATGTTTTGAAATGTTTTAGTAAATTTTTCCATTTTTCCTACTTTTTTTCCCTAGTTTTCCAAATTATTATGAAAATTGCTTGGAAAATCAAAAAATTACTTCCTTAAAGTACCACCCCAGTCAAATTTCCTTTCAGAAAAGATGCTATATTTGGAAACTAGAGCAAACCGTCTGATAAAAAAGTTGTTCACAGAAAAAAAATATCATTGTAAAACTAATACATTCCTAGCGTCACTCAGAATCTAAAAAAAATATTACATATTATATACATTATATAATATGCACGAGTACATATTCATTTAATTTTTTTGTTTTTGTTTACATTTTGAAATAGTTAAGTGTATATATACGCAGATATATATCTGCGTGCAAATATGCATTTTAAACTCGGAATTTTTAATATTTCCGTTATTTTTCAAAGAAATATTATATTGCGATACAATAGATAAAGGATTAATATTTTCGGTTCGATTTTAAAACGTGCTCTTATTTTTATGCAAGTTTTTTAGGCAAACGAGTAAAGATAAACGAAAATCTACAAACGTGTATGTAGGTAATTATCTATAATTATTGCGATGTTCCTTTCTGTTGTTTAAACAAATTATAAATTATAATCTTAATTTTTTATACTAAATTTGCGTTTCTGATATATGTATTTCCATAGATATTTAGCCATTTAGCAAATACAATAGTCATAATTTATATTGTTTGTTTTGAATTGATTTTGAACTTTGGGCACATAAATAATAGTATATGTTTTATTTTATTTTCTCTGAACTATTGAATTGTAGTGTAATTGATGTTCATAAAACAATATACTATAGTGATGGGTATAAAGTTCGGCTTGGGAGTGTTCTATAAAATAAAAATACAATTAATCGACTATGTAATATTACTTACTTATACACGCGTGTACGTCTTATTGCACAAACAACTGACGTAAAAAATCATTTCAACGAGACAATAACCTTTTCATAAACATCTTTAAAAATAAACTGTAATTTTTCTTATCTAAAAAATTGTCGTTGCAATTATTGGTTAATAATGAAATAGTACCTACCTCCTACCTATCTATTTAGGTGTATTATATAGTTATTATGATATAATTTTATTCAAGTACTCTACTCGTGGATGTTATCTATACAGACTACGTATTTGCATTAACATTTTTCATGGTTATTCATGTGTGTTATTCAGCAATTGGCAAATGAGGAATTTACATTTGAGTATATTGATTATATAGCGACAAAAGATAAGTATTACGTAAATAAATGGTCAAAATAAATTTAAACTATTAATATTAATTAGTAGGTACTTGACTCAAAAGTATCTCAATGTTATTCCGTATTCATAATAATTTATATGTGGTTACTGATTAGGTTTATACATATATGTATAAAACATATTATAATATATAAGTTCAAATTTAAAATTTATATGAATCTGTTACAGGAGCAGATCTATTGGGTGGGCCGGGTGAGTTCGAGACCGTCTAACATTTCCACCAAGATTGATTTAAGTTTACACTTTTATTTTTAAATTAATATTTTATAAGTTAAGTTAAGTTAAACGTTATGTTAAATTATCACAAATAAAAATATATTTAATTAATCACGTTATCATGAGGAACATGAACTTTTTTGAATTTTTGACTTATATATAAAAGACTTATAAATATATTTTTATGTAAAACGACTGAATATAAGTCTACAATACGTAATTTCTAATCCAGATCCTACTGATTTTGTTTTCGAACATCATGTCAAAACTAATTTGATCTATATTCGCTAAAAATAAATATTAACCTTTCAAACATTTAAAATACGTGTTGATAAAACATATCGTATTAAAACGAAATAGACCTAATAAAGCGAAAAATCTCTAAAAAAAATAATAATATTATAATAATAAAATTTGTAAAAAAAAATGGCATAAAACATTAAATAAAATTACTATAAAGCAAATAAATTTCGTCTAATCATACGAATTATACGAAACTAATTTATAGTTGACCATATCTTCATATTTGACCAATATAAAAAATAAGGAAATTCCTATAATATCCGAACTCTATAACTATGCAAATCGTCCATGGATAGTAAATATGTCAATGCAAGTTACAACAGTATAGTACCATTTAATTCCGATATTAAATTTTCATTTTTTTGTTTAGATTAATAGATTAACCTATTTAGGCACTGGGTGTCACCGATGTTAAATGAAAATTAGAAGTCAATATTTCGAAACAATCGATGATATCTTTATAAAAATGAATCGAAGATGCCTGTAGATCTAAAATTAAGACTTCAATACGCATGCATAAAATTGTTAAGAACTTTTGGGAGCAATAAATTTCTTGAAAAGTTGAAAGCGCAGTAAAACAGAAAAAACTATTTACTTCAGAATTTGCTAAGGGCATTTTAATCGTAATTAAAGGCATGAGACTATCGTTTTTAAAGCTAGAAGAAGTGTACAAACGAATTTTAGTTATTCCAGTTACGAGTGCTACAGCTAAAAGTAGATTTTTAACGACGAAGAGAATGAAAACCTACAACAGATCAACCATGACCGGAAAACGCTTAGTGTTTACATAACCTTGACCTCGCTTTGCAATCAATCGAAAAAGAAAAAAGTGAAGAGTTAGTGGGCAAATTCAGGCGAGATTGTAAATGTGGAAGCCGAGAAGATTAATTTTTCCATATAACTATCTAAATATCAATACCTAAAATAAAAAGTATTAAATATTTTAATTAGATTTTACTGCGTTACCTAAATTAATCGTCGGGGTTAAATTCATGGGTCGTATCTAAAAATTATTTTTGGATCTACCCCTGAATTCGGCCATTATTTTTCAAAATTATATACCTTTTTTATTTTCGAAAATAAAAATAACATTATATTAATGCTAAAAACGTAATTAAATTTAAAGCTTTAAATATTAACACATTTTCGAATAATGCGTAACTGTAAAAAAAAAAAAAACATTTACTTAGGTAAGTACTTTTTTACTGGTAAATACTCGTATTTTTTAGATAAATTACGGGTTATTATACGAGTATATATTAAATTACAATGTTGTTTATTAACATCAGACTTGTGATAATGTACCTCTATTTAAATAGCATTATATTAAAATTAATTTTCAAGTACCTATGTATGTGTGTGATTTCTAAAACTTTCGGATGACGAGTATTCAAGTACATTTTCCGTAGTAATTGTTCGTGAAAAAAAAAAACGTAATATTAATATTAGGTTAGGTTATTTCAGAAATTGAAATTAGGTATTTGCAATTATTAAAAGCTTGCGAGTTGTAAAAATCTTTATAGTATAACCATTATGTAATACCTTTATGGTAGCTCAGTAAATGATAATAATGATAGTAACGTATACATAGATAGTCGACACATGTTATTTAGTATCCAGTTTGCAGACGTCGCGTGATCGTTTATTACAAAATGCATTCATTCATATGGCATTGATATAACTAATATCACGACATAGTAAATTAGTACATTTTTCCTGATAGCTAAGTATAAATTATAGCGTTATTAAATTATTTACGGATCGTATTCCGGGGCACTCGAACGATTGAATGTTCAGTTTTATTTAATTAACCGGTTCGTAAACTTTTGTGATTCAAGGGTCTTTTATTATTTGCGTAACAGTCGTACAGTCGTACATAATTAATTTTGATGCTATATTACCAATATAAATTAAATATAATATTTTAATCTATAATGCTATTACGTATGTGGAAATATTTGAAAAATTCGCGTCACTACTACTTGCGAACTGCAAAGTACAAAACTCGCGAAGTTTGAAATATTTATTATTAAATTCTCTATACGCGATAAGAAAATAATAACACATAGCAATAATATTATTGTTATGGTTTCGTTGAAATTTCACGAAAACACTCAAATTTCAACTTTAATTAACGATGTTCGTTTAAAATCTATAAGTAGCCTGCCTATATATTATAATAAAATCTTAATTTACACCCTCGAGTATACGATTTTGTGATTTTTCGTTAATAAAGTTGTTTTTTTTTTTTTTTTTTTTTTTAATTGCACAATACGCAATTTTATTATATTACTCGTTTCGCGTGAACACGACAGTAACAATTCGTAAATAAATATCAACACAGACAACAAACTATTAGTTAATTATTTAACTTCAACGTCCATCAAATTTTAACTTGTCGAACGAACACCGAATTAAAAGTCTAACAATATTCGTTTAAATTGCAACACAACATGTTGTGACATTAAATTTTAAACGAACGTATTTGGTTTCAATTTTTTTTTTCTCGCAATTGTAATCACAATTTGTTATTATTTTCAAATAGTAATCTACATTGTGTGTATTATTATTTAATTTTACCGAACCGTACAGTTTTTACACGATTTCCGCGTTTTATTAGATCCGTTTTTTTTTTTGTTTTTTTTTTTTAATTTATACATTTGTATAGTACTTATCTACCTCTCCATATTATAATAGCTACACACGGAGTACCTGTATCAATATAGCATAACATTATCTTATTATTATACAGGTACCTTGGTAAATTCTCTACGCTATCTATTTTTTGAAACTAGCTGTACACAATATACGGAATGAGAATAAATTTATTATAATAATAATTTGCAAAATCGAATTACTATTTGTTAACGGCGATTTTACGATTCGGATATAATTCATATTGGACTACCGGCCGCGCGTAATCGGTTTTAAAATTATTGTTTCATACAATGGTTTTTAATGTTGTCATTTTTACAACGCGCGTAGGTAAATTAAAACGGGAATTATTTCAAATGCGTCAGAAGTAAATCATTTCGTACAGCACGTAAATAATGATAATGCGTACCAAATAAGACGCGCGTTTACGTGTTGACGTGTTTCACGCGTAGTGCACTAGTAGTGCGGCCTACTTTGTTTATTTATATTATTACTGTTGTTGTGCACACATATACAATTAAAATATTCACCTATATCACGTTATCCGCGAACATTTAGTGTTATCATTATTATTAGTTTTGCTCGTACAATACGTTCCGTTATTCCGCGTCACGTTATGCATATAAATAATAATAATAGAAAAAAAATAATAAAAAAATAACCAGGATCGAATTTATTGTCCGCGGCAAACGTTTTCAACGAGTACCTACGTGTATCGAAAATTTACTTTCATCGCGGACATTGCCGTTGTCACGGTTCGCACATGCCTATAGCGGTGCTTGACGGATTTCTAACAGTAGGTTTACCCACCTACATTTCGTCAACAATTTCTAGTCCGAAAATTACGCGTTCTCTAACAAAGGAATAACGATTTCGTTAACATTTTAAGGTTCGATGCCTGGCGGGGCAGATACTGCGTATTATTATGCGGATTATTATTATGTATGATTTTCGGCAAACGTCAACGAATATTGTGCGGGCTGAGGGCCCCGCCATTTCTATTATGGGCCCAAGGTGCCGACACTATTATGAAAAACGTTTGTGATGTTGTTACAAAATATACTATACAACCGTGCCAACAAATCGGTGGCGAAACCCGCGGGGTTCTTCTTCGAGGAAAGAGTGGTTATGGGCTTTCAAAACGGATTTCCGGACGAGTGATGTCCGGGATTGGGTATAGTGGTTTGGGTTACCACCTAATACTATAAAACGCGGTACAACATCCAATGTAATATTTCAAGGGAATGTCTGAAATCGCGTTAAAGACTATGCGGTTGGTTGTAAATCTCGAATTTCCGAGGCAACTGCGACCGCCCCCAGAGTCACGGTACAAAACCGTTAGTTTTAAGCAGAAAATGAATCGTAAGTATAGGTGTATATAGCGATGGCGGTCGGACGACTTACTATCATGGGTTTGTCTTCCCAGTTCTCCACGTTCTTCCAGATGTATTCGGGCAGCGTGAGATCCACCGGCTTGACCGATCCGAACGGAGATTCCAGGATTACGGATCCGGAGGACGACGACGGGGAATTGTGGCTGGCGTCCACGCTGAACGTGCGTACCGCGACGTACGGAGACGACATCGCCGTGCGCCGATAGTTGGACGCTGCGGTTTTGGAACACTTGCGCAGCGGTCCGTTGAATAAGTGCCGGGCGCTCTTCATCACGCTCAATCGGTCCATTGTGTTATATTATTTGTTTTTAATAACGAGACACCGGTAATTTATATAATTTCTTATGTTCGAGATAATGTTTACAATACTGTGGCGATTCGTGCGGTAGGTACGATATATTGTTACAGCGAATAACGGCCGAGCTGATGGAAATTTATGCGGGACTTTTTACCGGCGTCGCGCGAACGAAGAAAATCTAGAAGAAAAAATAAAAAAAAAATGAAAAAATAAAAAAAATACACCGACAAAATTCTCTATATTATAATGTCGCGGGAGACGGCGAGAGCGGGAACATACTCGAAAAATCACTCGACCGGCAGCTGGCAAAATACTACTGAACCGTCCGACGCTGGTGAATTGTATGCGTAAACACGCGCAACACGTTGCCGGCCGTCGCTGTACATTTTATACGACCGTGCGAACGGTGGGCGGCAAGTTCCGCATACGCGTATACCCGTAGCGTTTCCCACCGCGCACTCCCGCCCACGTTGTCGGCCGTGCGTTTATACGGAGCGGTTAAATGCGCGAATCCCGTAATATTTTCCTACGGAAACGACAAAACTGTTATTCCAGACTTCGGCGGTATAATATCCAGTGGCATGCCCAGTGGGTGGGTGGTTTGGGGTTATATCCTATCCCCCCTCCGTTGGCTTATAAATACAACCAAATATGAGTAATCTAATATCGAAACTCATAAATTTCGGCCGATTTCTGGGAAAAAACTTAATGTATTGATTAGAAATTTGCTTTTTTTTTTTTTAGGATCTGGCTTTTAAACTACCAACTCCCATGGCCGAGTTGGGAAGATAAGACGATTGTCCTCTTTGTTCGCGATTTTTATTTGTTACATCCCCTCCCATCGAAAATTCCTGGGCACGCCATTGATATCCTATACAAACCTGCAGAGGTGCCGGGTTATAAAAATGTAATAACCGAGGGGGAGCTCACTATTTTCTAAACACATGACGTATGGTTTTTACAAAAATCTTATCTTAATATATACATATTATATAAATATAATTCCGCATACTGCAATATACCTATTTGTGTGCTCTCTTTCGGGCGTACGTTATTACCGTCCGTCGTGTTCATTAAACTCAATATTTACCGTAGAAAAGTTGTGGCACCATCAAAGATAACCATAGCGGTCATATATAGAGTACCTATGTAGGAGAGAATGCTGCACCAGTATTGTATAATAATCTAGCACAATTCATACTTCAATACTTTGTAATAGGTCAAGATTACCTATTCATAATAAATATCGATAAAAGAAAAAAGAAATAAACAATATACCAATACCATGATATTTTATTAGACAAATTTCAGGTTCCGGGGAACGGCTTGATTTTGTACAGTTTTCAATGCAAGCAAAATGAAATTTGAAAGAATTTACAACTAATTCCGAAAATTGACATACGTTGTCTTCCCCAGAACCAAAGAAAATATATTAATCGATTATCTAATATAAGTATTGTGTATTATAAAATTATTTTATTTGTATTCGCTAAAGATCCACCGTAGTTAAGATGTTAATTCGTGACTATAGACTATCACGGACCTTGAACGTTTTACCGTATTATAATACTACTCTGCAGCGATGCGCTATATTATAATAATGCATTATAAATTAAACTTGAACGAAACGACCGCTCTGTACAACAGGTATCGTTTACTGAGCGATAGCGGAGCCGAAAGGACGGCGACACGTGACTATACATGAGTTTACGTTGCCATCGTTACGCTGCAAACGGTGTAAACTTTATTTAGGGTATTCGTTTCGGCGAGATATGGTAAATCTACAATCTGTTTTTTATGTTCTAACCGTGGTTCAAGGGTACCTATTTACGGTGTTTACAAATCATTTGAACTCGTATTCGTTTCCTCAATGTTTGTTTACGCAATTATTTCATTTACGAAGATAATTATAATTATTACCATTGTGCGTCGCGAGGGTTTAAATTTAATTTTACAATTTGTAATAACAATTTCATTACCCGCTGCAAATTGCTGCTCATCACAATACCTATACCCAGGGTCGTCTTGACGATTTGCGAGGCCCGGGGCAGAGACGAATCGCGGGGCCCAAAATCGCACTCACGCGCACGCCTACAGAATGCATTCAGCCGACAGTGTTTAATCCAGAAAAGTTTCCTGGGGGAGGCTTGCCTTTTTTCATTGGTAATTTCTAAAAATCGAACGAGTATTGTTCGTTTAATAAATAATTTTTGTTGACAGTCGTATTTTGTCAGGGGGCGAATTGAATTCCGGGCGGGCATTCATCCCCCTTGGAGTGTACCAAGATTCAACAGTGTTCAGCAGTCGTGTTTAACGGTGGACAAATTAGAGGGAGGTGATTGGAGGCCCTTAATTATCTCAAAAGCCCTGCTTGCGCTACCTTATAGACGCGTTATCCGATATTATACTATGTATACTATGTATCCATTAATAATACATTATTGACATTTAACATAGGTACACTACTGTGAACAGTGCGTATAAAGTTTAATGTTTAATTATTTTATAGCAATCGAATCTTTATTAACGGACTTTTAATGAAGACCAAAATATAAAAATATGCCTAAATTTACAAAACAAGTACAATTTTTTTGTGAAATATAAACCCTATCGATACAATATTTGTTCTTATCTATTTGTAAAAATTAAAAGATTTTTATCATTGAATACATATTAGATTATTTACGATATAGTAATAATTTGAAAATGTCGAATTCATAAAAAAAAATACACCCATTAGAATACAAATTGGTCCGTTATTAAAAGTACTGGGTTCAGGTAGTTAATACAACTAATATATTTTATTATTGATCTTGTTATTACAAGCGATACGAAAAAATATTGTTTTAAATATATTGTGCACAATTTTTAAAATGTACGAGTATTTTTAGAGACGCATAGCGGGGAGTGGGGACTGCAACATTCGTAGGTCATTATCTAAATAAAAATCATGTGATGACCCCCAAGAGCGTTTTACAAATAGTATTACGAGTATTTATTTTAGATTAGTCACGAATTAATTGAAAGTCAACCGGTAGTCAGATATAATTTTCCGTAGGCTATAAAAAAACAATAGGTAATTCCTGAGTGAATATTAATTTTACATGTATGTATGTTTAGCTAATAATATTGTAGTTAAATAATTCAACGTTTAATAATATTACCTTTAAGTAAAAGATTGAATATAATATAAAATATTTAAGTATATAGTAGGTATATGTAGTTAGTAAATATTATAATCTATGTATATTATAATTGATAACTATACCTACAACTACTGATAACCCGAATGGAAATATAATAATATTTGAATAGGTAGGTACCTATTTTAATTTCACTTTTTTTTGCCTATCTATCCAAACGGATTGACACGAAGGTCTATAATAATTTCAAAAAATACTGGATTAACCACGTTATAATCCTCATGCCTAAGTATTGATACCTACTCGTTTTCCTTTTCACTTTCGAAAACCAAGGCTTGGAGGTCAATCGGTCATTAACATTATAATAAGTGTATATAGTTATTATAATACGTATACACGTTTTGTTTATATGTTTCGAATTTAATATTTAAATACCTGTGACATTTTTTATTTACACCAAACTCTTTCATTTGATTTCATTACGAATAATATCAGGTATTTATTTTAATGATTGAAATGCTATAATATTAACAGTAAATATGTTCATAAATAAATCAGTTAAATTAGTTACCTACGTATGTTATTTGATAAAAAAAAAAAAATCAGTTTATTAAGCATACCGTTACCTACTTTGTACTTAATAGCATTAAGTACCTAATAAACGATAATATTTTAATCTATTTAAGGGCCATATCATAAATAATACAATTTATCGTACTAGGTACATAGGTACAAAATAGAATATGTAGCAGCTATGTGTACATTGTCAGAGTAGGTAGCGAGAATGCGGTTAAGTAAAAATAAATTATTATCAGGCACAGGTACTTTTTAATGTCCGTGTTATACAATATAATTGAATAATAAACTGCAAAAACATTAAGATTTTAGATTTATTTTAAATATTAAAAGGTTGAATATTAATTTTTAGGAGCATTATATTACTCCCAAGGAGGAAATGTATATATATTTTATGGTTCTCTTATGATCAAATTGTTCTTTTTAAACTGAATTTTAACTAAATGTACATAAAATACCACAAATAGTAAAACCTGAACAAATTTGATTATATTTAATGCTAACATTGATTAAATAAAAAATAAAGTTTTAAACTGATATATTTTTGTATTCATTTGTAAAAGTCATTAATAAGTATTAACTACATTTTAGTTAGTATAACAAAGATCAAGCCCGGATTAAGATGTTTACTGTTGTAAGATGTAACCACTGTTGCAGATGGGAACAAGGGCGAATCCAGGGGGAGCACCTGGGGTAAACGCCCCACCCAATTTTCTCAAAAAAAAAAAACAAAACAAAACAAAAAAACATCTATTTGTATTTATTTATTGTAAACATTATTCCATTTTACATTATTATGACGGACTAAATTAGAATATTTTATTCGTAATAATGTACACGATTGACAATACTATCTATAGTATGATTTTTCATAATTTTATTGCAATTATATTTCATAAATTTTGTATTTATGGTTTCATTAATAATTATAAATGAATAACAGTAGACATTTCTCTAATACGTGCCTTCTTCGTAAACAGATCCTGGATCCGTTCTTGAATGGGAAGTTGGGAAAATAGAATATATAAAGTTTTTGAATTTATTTCTATAATAAGCAACTCTAGACTTTTGCTTACAAAATACGATTCTGTGTGAAGTTCGTTTTTATTTACGATTTTCTAAATTTTAATATTCTTATAAAAAAAATACTTCACTACACTCATTTTTTTTTCTTGGCCACTAAATATGACTTGTAATGAACCTCCTATCAAATTTCCAAATTCAACAAAAAAAGCCTATAGGCATTTGTTGATTAAAGCAATTTTTCTGGTTGAAAATATAGTTAGGAAAATTTAAAAACAATGAAATCGGTAATGCCGAGGCACGGCGTGTCTGTCCATTGTTCCATATGTTTTCTTCCAAATGTAACAAAAAATGTATCTTGTCGTTTTTCGATTGGAGCAAATCCCGCTCCGAATTTGAAATTTTTAAAAACTGCTGAAAACAGAAAAATATGTCTTAACTAAATAAAATAATACATATATCTAGTAATTTCCTTTAAAAACCATCAGTAAAAAGTTTTAATCGATAAAACTTCAACAAATGCAAAGTTAATGGTTAAATACGCAAAAAATATAATTAATAAAGAACATATACCATGGAAAAAACTGAGGCCCCTCTATTGTATTGTGACATGGGGTTATCCGGAATTGACTGATCTGTGATTGAGTCAAAGATATAAAAACGAAAAGTAATTTATTCCATTATTGCGTTTTGTAGCTTATTAATATTAATACATTTTAGAAATTGTGTGGCGTCAGCTTTTGTGTACCTATAGAATTAAACAAAACAGCAATATTTTTCTTTTTCGTTTCAACATAGATTTTAAAAATTAAAAACAAATATTTAAAAGAATACAGTTATTTTCAAAAAGAAATTATCGAAAATGACTTACGTTAATATACAAATAATTTGTTCTTGAATAAATCGTACAAACTCTTCAGTATATAGTCTAAATCCCATGATAGTACGGAAACAGTGTTGTAATATATCTAGATACATGTATCTAAGATGCAGTATCTAGATACTTTTTTTGTATCTTGTATCTGTATCTCAGATACAAAACATTGTGTATCTTAATGAAAGTATCTAAGATACTTTTTAAGATATAATTCTTACTTTTTTGGTTCAACAAAATATGAAAATAAAAAGTAAAATTCTGAAATCTAAATTTTTTAAATAAAAATATCGATAATTTATTGTTATAATTTTGTAATTCTATATGTTTAATGAATTAAATATTTATAAAAAAAATTATCTGTTTCCTTAAATGTATCTTAAGGTTAAGATATTATTAAGATACTTGTATCTGTATCTAGATACTAATTTAAAGTATCCTATTACAGTACTGTACTGAAAGTATACCTACCTATGCAAAACGATTTTTGTACCGTGTAACAGGTGACGTATTTGTTGTTACTCGTGGCCGATAGAATTATTAACATTCCCACTGGCTACTTGGGCATTTGGCATAACGTGCATGCACATTGCACATATACGAGTACGTATAGGTATATGACCTATATATTACCTATTATTGTTGGTTCACACTTTTTTTTATCATTTAAATTTATATAATTTACATCATAATATTGATTTTAAATCGTTTGATAAACAATATAATTTAGTGCAATGCGTATACGTATACGCATGATTAAAATAATACACTAACAATATTAAATTACCTACATACTTACTTATTTTATACACCAGTTATCAACAGGAACCAAAATACCTACATCATAATACGGTAATTAAAAGGTATAACGATCGTTTTTTTTTAAAAAAATGTTTTATTTCAAAGGTAGTTTATAATACAATAAATATTAAATACAGTGTAAAATGGACCTTTGAACCCATACAAATAATAGGTAGGTAGCGTAATCTTCCGGAACATATTTTTTTCTTTTGTATTAGGTATATACATTATACACGATTTATTAATTTTACAGAACTACTGTAAATTATATTGTAATTAGAAAACACGTTGAATATAAAACTGCTTTTTTTTTTTTTAAAAAAAGAATACGATTAACATAAAATATAAAATTAATAATATTGTGCACGGTTGTGCATGTTCCCGTCATGTAATATGCAATTTACATAATTGTATTATATTATACTTTCGTTTTGCGAATGTAATAAAAGTAATACCATTGATTATATTATACTATACTATAGTTAATACGACAATAATATAAATCACCTAAATTAGATAGTTGAATATCAGTTTAGCAGTGGTTAAAGTGAGAAAAAGGAGACTTCGTATTTATCAAAAATTGAGGGGCGTTCACAGGGTTTAAAGTGGTACAAAATAACAAAGGGTACTGTGATCTATATTTTTTTTTTCTGAACATTCCATACAGTGTTATCCCGAATGTTCAGGAAATCATGGAAACAAGGAAAATATTTATTAATTTTTAAAACCAAACCATTTTTCTCGTTTCGCTCGAAAACTGATAATATTTTCTTAACAAAAAAAATATGTGAATATAATAGTAACATTAATAATTAATGTAATAAAATTATTTTATTTTATTTGTATAATTATACATAATAATTTTTTTAATGTGTTTACAAGAAAATTAATAAAGACATGTCAGAAAAATAAATAATAATAACTTTAACATTTTCTTGACAACTTAATTGTATATAAATATATAATATTTTTTAACGCTCACATATACATTAACGAAAAAAGCTGATACTGCTGATGGGCATGACACTGTTGTAGGTGGGAAGTTGGGATGATGGAGGAAAAATTTAATGTACAGCTGTACGTAACAATTAATCGTTGCTAACGAAAAACAATTCTGAGCGGAGTTGGGTCATATGCATGTTTTAAAAGGTTGTATAGCATTTACGATTTGAAAATAATAGGTTTATTTTTAGTTCAGTTTCCCGTTTTTTCTACGTTTTTTCCCGGTTATTCCAAATTATTATGAAAACTGCTTGGAAAATCAAAAAATGAAATCTCTAAAGTACCAACCCAGTCAAATTTTCTTTCAGTAAGTAGCTACCCTTGAAAATCAGAACAAAATTTCTGGTAGAAAAGTCGTTCAAATAAAAAAACAATATTGTATAACCAATACAATTCTAGTTCCGTTAAAAATCTAAAAAAACCAATATAATTACGTTTCTTTTTAACCTCTAAAAGTACAACTTACAATGCAGTTCTTGTTAAAATTTCAAGCATTTTAGTTCGATCAAACAATTATATTCACATATAGTATCTATTATCTATCAAATAAAAACTACGTGAAAAATTCGAAAAATTAAAATACCCATAAATAGTTCAATACACGTCAAAATGTTTGAAAATTTTTGACGCCTAGATAAGATAATTGTAAGTTTTCTGTCAACATTTCAAGTATTTACGAATATTTTTACTGAATTATACAACAAAAGCTATAACCAAAATGTAACGAAAAATTTCACTTGTCATTTTTCGATTGGAATAAATTGTCTATTCGAAAAGTTCTTTACAAACAGAACAAAAACACATCACAGAATAACCTGCAATAGATTCGTCGTTCCACTCCTAATCTAAAATAAAACTGAATAACAAAATATCTCTAATCTCTATAGGAATCATATACGTCATATATGTTTCTTGGGATTATGATGTACCCACATCATGTTCGTTAGGAATTTAATTACACATGGGCGTTAAGATAATATCTAAGTGCGTTATGTAAATTCACAAAATAACTTATATGTTATATATCTGTGGTCTACACTGTACAGTGTTCATCGTAGAATATATAAATATTTATTTGTTTCATACAAACTATACATTATTGCAATAATGTAGTATAATAAACATAAGTGAATAACAGTGATAGTTCAAAAGTCCACCCATCGACGACACTCCGACAAACCATTGAATACGGATAAAAATTTCAATCACGAAAATAATATTTTTTATAAAAGATCAAACTGGAAAATATTATATTTAAAAAATAATTGTTGATAAATCTAAAATCATTATATTTAAAAAAAAAAATTATTTTGAACGGTGGATACCTTTACCTACGCAGCGTACCCAACTAGTGTACCTACCTTCGAAGAATTTGTTAAAGAAGACTCTTTTTAAGCGCAGCCAGAGGTAGGGGGACTGAGGGCTGTTGCGTCCCCTTCCCAATTTAATCACTGGGCGTTCCCGAGTATCAACTAAATCTAACCAAGCTCTCTGATAATACATCAAAACTTCCAAAATATTTTTCCCACACAGATTAAAAAAAAATATGTTGCACTAATACGGGTTTATACGTATAAATTATTCTACGTTTTAACAAATTGTTTTATGTTCCGGTTATTTTACCAATAAATAATTTATATAGCTCAGCATCATATTTTCCTCGAGTTCTAATGCTACTAAATAAATTAGCACCTTGTGTTGATTTATTTTCAGATATGTCTCGTGAAGTTTTTATGTTTAATGTACTTATATAACGCGTTAACTAATTGTTCACTGTAATTTCATTTTTGTTCTATTTATTTATGTTTATTCCATTATTATTATTATTTCATTAATTGTATTTTAAATTACTTTTGCCATTTATGATGTTATTTTTCTTTTGTTAAAGGGTTTTTTCATCCGTTTATAATTTATGAAATTAAATTTAAAAATAATAAAAGGTCTTGAGTGAAATATTATTTAAAAAGTATCAATAAAATAGTATAAAACCTATCTACCAAGGGCGTCCGCAGGGGGGTGCCGGTGGGGGCCATATCCTCCTCGCTATTTGAGTTAATATTAAATATTAACTGTTTTATTACTTGTACGGCTTAAATATTTAATAAGCCGTGATTACTTGTAAGTTGCAAAAAAAAAGTCTTATACTTTTAATTTTGCCAACCCCCCCCCCCAGTTTATATTTCTGTGGGCGTCCTTGCTACCTACGTTTAAAATAACTAAAAAAGAGCTGATATTGTCGACGGGTTTATCGCTGTTGTAAGTGGAAAGTTGAAAATGTAGACAATGGCACAATTAGGGCGAGGGGGGTTAAAATGAACGGTTAATGAAAGGAACAATTTGTGAAGGAAAAAAAATATTAGAACAAGAGCCAATAACGCATGGGTAAAAGTCATGCAAATAATATGGAAATCGATTATCGATAGTAAGACATAAAAGTCTATAATCGTGGTATAATTCCGGCACCTACCTATCGTGTTTGCTATGCGCAAACTCAATACTTTGCGGAATTTCAGTAAAATTAATATTGTGCGCGGTACAATATTTCACACGATAAGACCTATAATGCGTAACAAAAAACATATTATTTCAACGTTACGTTATACCTTTAACTGATTACAATAAATTGAGAAATAAAATTGAAGGAAAAAAAAATAATAAAATAGAAAAACGAAAATACATCTTATACTAGCATCGTACCGATCGTAACAAAATAAAATAAATTACAAACAAAATACGGTAGGAAGATATTATTCACCATTTTCGGAACAGTTCTACTATGTATCGGTAATATAATATCTGTCCAAAAGTAATCTACAAAAACGATAAGACGCGGATAAAGTTAATAGTTGGGGAATAGTATCCATTGCATGTACTAAATTTTATTTTTATTTTTTCTGTAAATTGCTGGTATAGTGGTCTAATGATACGGTTTCCTATTCGCGACAAATGGTTCGTCGTTGCGTCCGGCGACAGTACCGGTCCGAGGGCAGTATATCGCGACAATACAAAATTATATCGGGTGCGACACAATTTTCATCGACAGAGGAAGTATTCCTCCTTATTGAACGAATTAGAAAAAATATACCTATTTGTGCTCTTGCTCATTACAAAATGTAAAGACAACATTCATCAGGCTTCTATTTTGCAATCCAGAAATAAGCTTTGTATTTTTGTCTTTTTTTATCATTTGAAATTAATAATTCATCTTCGTCCTCCTGTTCCTCAAGTAAAAGTAAAATAACTGTATTTGTAACACTCATGTTTAAATTTCAACTTAAAAGCTTAAACACAAAAATACAAACACCGTCACGGTACAAACAGATCACAGATACTGCAGTGTGCAGAATACGGCTACAGTTTATCAGTGTCGCAACGAATGTTCGCGTCTAGGAAATCAGTCACACCGCCGGGACGGGTCGCGTCCAGGAAACCGTACCATGTTAAAAATCTTAAAGGATTATCATAATGCCGACGACATCTGCTTGACCATTAGCCAACTATCGTTCATTGTATCACATAATATTATGGTATTGATAAGCTATTGATAAGCGTTATCGGCCAAAACAAAAAAGCATGCTTTCGAGAAGATAGGACCGTTAAGATCTTCGAAGACCGTGTTTTTGATAATATCATGTCTCTCAGCACTCGGTGAACTTTGAAGTAATGTAAACACCGAACTTGCTGTTCAAATTATTCAACATTCATTAGGTATGACCTCGAATTTCTGTTTTTGAACAACAAATCCGACAGTTATCGATACTAATCCACTGATTGACCATGGCTGAGGAATTCGAAGACAAGAAAAAAGAACATCGACAAAGGCATTCTGGTAACATATTTTTTAAAACCATATACTGTATATATTTATAGTTTGTTCATTTTAATTCAAATTGGCATTGGCGTTTCAGTGTTATTATTAACACAATGTCTGTATTTTATGTTTTATTTTTAGGTAGGAAAGCTGATAAAAAAGTTTTAAAGAAAAAATTGGATCAAGATGAAGCTTCTGCAAGAAAAAGAAATCCTAAAGCGTTTGCTATCAATTCAGTTGTTAGTGCTCAACGACGATTTAGAAGGTTCTTAAAATTATACATCTACCTAGTATTTTTAGTTATCTTAGAATTTTATTTTCAAAAATTATTATAGATAATTATATTTTAAACTCATCATTTGTATTAAATTAGAACTCAAGATTTGGATACCAAAAAACAACATATTCCTCTGATTGATCGTACACCACTGGAACCTCCACCAATTATTGTTGCTGTGGTTGGACCACCAAAAGTTGGCAAAACAACATTAATTAACTGCATTATTAGAAATTTTACCAGACAACCTTTGACTACAATAAATGGACCTGTCACTATAGTATCTGGTAAAAAGCGACGTATTACACTAATTGAATGCAATAATGATATAAACAGTATGATTGATCTGGCCAAAGTTGCTGATCTTGTACTTCTCATGATTGATGCTTCATTTGGATTTGAAATGGAAATATTTGAATTCCTTAATATTTGCCAGGTAAATATGATTTTTTCTGATTTTTTTTGTAACATTTATGATTTATTTTATGTAGGTACACGGAATGCCGAAGATAATGGGTGTATTATCCCATCTTGACATGTTGAAAAATGCCAAAACTTTGAAACGCACAAAAAAATTACTAAAACATCGGTTTTGGACTGAAGTTTATGCAGGAGCTAAACTGTTTTATTTTTCTGGCGTTCAACGAGGAGAATATTTACGCAATGAAGTTAAAAATTTAGGGAGATTTATATCAGTGATGAAATTTAGACCTTTGACTTGGCAGACTTCTCATTCATATGTTCTTGGTAAGGTAAAATATAGTTTTACATTAAATTAGATTAAAAACATTTAGACATTTATTAAATCATTCATCACTGTATTAATTTATTATTTATTTTAAATGTTTGGGACCTATTACCTAATGAGCTATGAATTTAGAAAATTTAAAATATTTCTTCTAATACTGCAATATTGTAATTTATTTCCCAAAATATTATGGTTAACTGATTTAAAGCCTGTTAACTGTTTAGGTCAATAATTACAACAATTGTTTGTTTCTTTAGTTCTGAATTGTCATAAATAAATTTAGTAGTAGAGTAAAAAGTATCATTTATTGAAAAATGTTGTTCACATTTATTTTAGTAAAAAGTGTATTTTTGTTTAAAAATCCTTATTTCGTTAAACTTTTAAGATGTTTTGATAGTAGAAGTTGAAGTTATAATCCTGTAATTATTACAAATTGTATTATGACAACTTTTTGAAAGAGTTATAACTAGGTACCTACTAATTTGTTATTAATAGAGGGGAATATACCAAATATAATAAACATAATAATAATAATACAATAATATTGTCTCCTGTATTTTTTATTATTAAGATAGTTAGATAGATAGAGACTTTTATTATGAGAAAACAAATCTTTAAATTTATTATTAAACTTATAATTTCTTAAGAATCAACTGCATTTTCAAGAAAAATATTTATTATTTAAAATATCAATAAGTTTAGGTACAAAACCATTATTTTTAATATTATCTACAATACTTCCTACGTTGAAAACGATTCTAAGGAGAGTTTAGTTATATATGTTTTAAAAGGACGTAATGTTAAAGATTTTTATAAAAATTTGATATTAAAATTCTTAGAAAAAAAAAATAAAATACTTCATTAAACTCAACTTTTTCATGTTGTCCAGTAAGTATAACTAATAATGAACAGTCTGTAAAATTGTCAAGTATTTCTGTTTGGTCTTACAATTTTATCCACAGAGTACCTACTGAATAAAAACTGCTTGGCAAATCAAAAAATTCTCTCATTAAATGTGTTACATTTAAATATGGCAGCAAGACTTCTGATAGATTTTTAGTACACAGTATATATATATATATATATTTATAAAAAAATATAATTAACATCATTGTAATACAGTCTGCTTTCGCTTAAAATTTAAAATTTAATATTTTTCATATCTTTATTTCAAAAAGTACTAAGAAAAAGTAACTTAAAATTAATAGATAGCTCATACATGATCTCTCAAAAATACCCTAAAAATAACTTAATTATTAAATTCCCCATAGTCGCTGATAAATATTTTATTTAATATGCTATTCATTGGGAACTTATTTTTAAACATCTTCACCATTAACAAACAAATTACACAGACTTCATAAAAAATTTCCCAAAATAAATAAATTAACGTAATATAACAAAATACACAAAAATATTGAAGACTGAATTATAATTTTATAATCTACTAGATACTAGAACCTTCCTCTTCAAATGATTATCATTAACCAATCTTGGGTCTTAATTTGCTATTTTTTAACCTTCGTTCGTTTCAGAAAAATAATAAACGCTTCAAATGGTATTTCTGTTTACTGCTACTATCGCACACTGAAGTCAAAATTTAACCACCAATACTCGTATAATATATTTTTACATACCACAAACTTATAAAAGAAATTAAATTATGTGAAGAACTTTGAAAGAAATTATATAGAAATTGTATAATAAATGAGGAAAGTAAAATTGGAAAAATGCTAAAAATTGCAAAAAGTTACATTAAACATTTTTAGATTTTAATTTGTCTTCACATGAAACAAATTTGATATCTACTTGGCAACAAATCTGAACAAGGGAAAAAAGTTGCAAATTTAACATCTGAGCCCTATTAATTATAAATATTTATGACTACTTGTTCTCCCCTTGCTAGTTTTAGAAAAAATCATTGATGTGTATCCTTATATTATAATTACGTTAACTTTGTCTTTACCACAATTTTCAATATTTTCTATGCTGTTTAATTAATTTTAGTGGACCGTATGGAAGACCTTACTCCACCAGAATCAATTCGTCAAAATTCTAAATGTGATCGCCGAGTTAGTTTGTATGGATTTGTTCGGGGTATTCCGATGAACAAACAAAGCAGTGTTCATATACCAGGTAATTATTACAAAAAAAAAAGTAAATTTTAGTGCAGTTATTATGTGAAAATATATTTGACTCTGGTAAAAGTCTCTGTTCTTTAATCTATTACTAAACTATTAAATATATACAAATTATTTAACATTTTAACTAATCAATTTACCATGTAACCACTAAACAAATTAATATATTCTAGGTTGTGGAGATTCACCTATTTTTGATATGTGTTATCTTCCCGATCCTTGCCCTTTACCAGAAAAAGTAAAAAAACGTAGTTTAGTTGACAAAGAGCGTCTTGTTTATGCACCATTTTCTGGGGTTGGTGGAATTGTATACGATAAAGATGCAGTATACGTTGAACTTGGAGGAAGCCATTCCCATAGTAAAGTAAGTTGTCTCTTCTTGTTTATTTTAATGTGGATAATTTTAAATCTGAAATATGGTTAGATTATGAACAGTTCCCAAGACGATACTCCCGGACGTGATTTAGTTAATAACATCGTAGAGACGCAAGATACTTTGGATCAAAAAATAAACCGTAGTGAAGTTCAAATATTTTCTAATACTAAACCAATTGTATCAACTGATTTTGAACAAAAGTATGTTTAATTTTTTTTTTTTGAGTAAATTATATAATATTTAAAAAATTTATTTTTCTAGTGATGATATGAATGATGAAATGTCTGTAAATAATGTAACAGATCCAAATGATGGACGAAATCGACGGAAAGTAATATTTCGCTCTGATGATATGCATTTTTCTGATCTAGATGAATCTGATACTCAAGATGATGATGATAGTGATGTTAATGATGTCAATGATGTTATTAAAGACATTGCTTCAGAAAATGAAGAGATTGATGATTCTAGTTCTGAATGGTCAGATTCTGAAGAAGAAACTGAAAATAAAAATAATGAAACTGACAAATCTCGTTTTTATGGGCGGTCGTTTGGTAAAGAGAATGAAATAAGGAAAAAAATTGCTAACGAATTAGCAAAATTAGATAAAATCAATCAGGAATCAAGCACTTCCAACTGGAATGAACAAGAACAAGACAATTATTCAGATACTAGTATGGATTATGATCAAGATTCTAGTAACGAAGATGAAAGTGATAATGAGGAGTTTCATGCCAATACAAGTGATGAAGAAGACAATTTTAGTAAAGTAAATAATGTTAATGAAAAGGTCAAAAAATTAAGTTTGGTAGATAATGTCTTAAAAAATGACTTACAAGAGACAAATAAAGATACTACATTAAATTGGAAAACGAATTTAGCACAAAAAGCAACTAATGCATATTACGATAGACAGAATTCAGTAGCTAACCTTTGGAAATTAGTATATGGTGAATACAAATTTATTAACTAAATATATTAATTATCATTATCTTCTTAGAAATAATCCAATGTGTAAATTATTATTAATAGGCGGAGTAGTTCCTAAAAATACAGAAGACCAGTCTGATGAAGACGAAGATGAATTAGGTGGTCTCTTCCGAATGTCATCATTGAAGAATCTAAAAAAACAAAGTGAAAAGGAAGATATGAATAAAGAAGATGTATCAAAATTTAATGTTGAACATCGTCATGATTGGAGTTTACAAGAGGTAAGAATTATATATATTTAAATTTATTCTCAATTAGAAGTCTGAATGATTTTGTGGAAATTTAAAATCACCTTAATATTAATTGAACTTTCAGAATTTTTTATATATATATATATATATATATATATATAAATTAAGGATAATATTGTTTGTTTAGGGTTAAATATAAGGCTTTTCAAAAATATCACCAAATTTCTCTTAATACATAAAATTAATATTCTTAAACAATTGTATTTAATTTACTTGTTTAGGTCTGTGATAGTATAAAAGACATGTTTGTAACTGGAAAATGGAATCGTAATGAAGATGCTACAACACTGCTCGAAGATGATGATGAAGAACTCTATGGGGATTTTGAAGATTTAGAAACTGGAGAAAAAGTTGAAGGAAAACAATTGGATTCTGATATTGATGATGGTGATAGTGTCATTGAAAAACCTAATAAGCCATTAACCATAGATGAATTAATTGAAAAGAAAAAAAAATTAAAAGAACAGTTTGATGAAGAGTATGATGATAAAGATGGGACTCAGAGTACATATTATGATAATTTAAAAGAAGAAGCTTCTAAACAAGCACAACTCAATAAAAGTCAGTTTGAAGGAATGGATGATGAATTGCGTGTACAATTAGAAGGATTCAGAGCTGGAATGTATGTTCGTGTAGAATTAGATGCAATGCCTTGTGAATTAGTAAACAATTTTGATCCATCTTACCCACTAATTGTAGGAGGACTTCAAAGTGGAGAAGAAAATATTGGATTTTTGAAAGTAATTATTAAATTTTAAAAAAATTGTTTAAAGCATTGGTTCTTAAATTAATTTGATAAAAAGGTACGGATTAAGAAACACAGATGGTACAATAAAATACTTAAAACCCGAGACCCTCTGATCATATCAATGGGCTGGAGAAGGTTTCAAACATTACCGATATTTTCAAAACAAGAAGATAACATGCGATACAGGTATTTGATAAATTTAGACAATTTATAAGATTTATAATTTTATTCATTTTTATTCCAATTTTATTGTTTATGTATGTTCTCACTTATTTCACATATTATTTTCAAACATTTTAGAATGCTCAAGTACACTCCTGAACATGTAATGTGCATGGCACATTTTTGGGGTCCAATGACTAAATCGGGTACAGGGTTTTTAGCTGTACAAGATGTATCTACTCAACAAGTGAGTAAAACTTATAATTTTACTTATTATAAATTAACTTATAAAGTTTTCAAATTTTTTTGTCATACTATTGTGTATTATGAATTAAATGTGTATTAAGCTATTAAATTATATTAATTATTGTATTCTTGTGAATTGTATATATTCGTTTAGTTTTTTTTTTCTGGGTTTCCATCCACTAATTTATAAAACATTTTTGTGTTTATCATCATTTGAAGACTTCTGATTTAAATTAAATACTGGATTTTTAATTTTGTTTTTATAAGGCTGGGTTCAGAATAACAGCTACTGGGACAGTTGTCGATACGGACCAATCAACTCAGGTTACTAAAAAATTGAAATTAACTGGAAGTCCATTGAAAATTTACAAACGAACAGCATTTATTAAAGATATGTTCAATTCCACTCTGGAAGTGACCAAATTTGAAGGAGCTCGTATTAAGACTGTATCTGGTGTTCGAGGTCAGATTAAGAAAGCTTGTCCTAAACCTGAAGGTTCATTCAGAGCAACTTTTGAAGATAAAATTAAAATTAGTGGTATGCATTGATTTGCTTATACTAAATAATATAATAATTGATACATTTTTATTTTTGTTTTCAGATATTGTGTTTTGTCGTACATGGTATAATGTTGAAGTTCCAAAACTTTATAACCCAGTTACATCATTACTTTTGCCATTAAATGAAAAAAATTCATGGCGTGGTATGAAAACTACTGGACAATTAAAAAGAGAACAAGGCATTAAGGGACTTCCACAAAATGATTCTACGTATACTGTAAGTTATATTACAATTTTTTTTATAGTTATGATTTTATTATATTATTTATTTTCTCACTCATGTACTTGTTTCTACATTTATACAGCCAATACATAGAACTATGAAATATTTCAAGCCTCTCAAACTATCCAAGAGTTTACAAGCTCAGTTACCGTATGTTGATAAACCTAAAACTTTGGCTACTGCTAAATTAGATTTGAAAAAACAACGGGTAGCTGTGGTTAGAGATGGTCACGAAGAACAAGTTTCAGCATTGATGAAGATGATTCGTACCACCTATAAGGAGAAGAAACGAAAAGATAAAAAAGACATGAGAGGAAGAGTTAGGAAACACAAAAAAGATATTCAAACTGAAGTCAGAGCCAAGTATAAAAGAGACCAACAAAAGAAAAAGGCTGTTATGAGAAAACGAAGTAAAATGTCATCTAGTAAATAATTTGATGTTTTATCTGTGATTTTCATTAATTAATAAAAATATATATTTTTATTTAGTTAAATAAATAAATGTTAATCCATTTTTAATATAATCTTTGTCAGTTTATTTAAAAATACCTTATGTTTGAATAATAAAATATAAAAATAGGAAGTATTCTAAACATAAAATCCACTACCTGTTTAAAAAGTTACATAATATTACTTTCTATATTTATTAAAAATATGACATAGTTTCCTTATTCTTTCATGTTTTTTTTATTTAATTTCCTCTAACTACAGAGAAATCTTCAATAAAATAATGTTGACTCAACAATGACTTAAGAACAGCATTGGTGAGCATGTATACATTACCTATCGTTTTGTACAAATTTTCTTTTATAAAAAATAATGAAAAAAAAAAATCATACAATAGAAATTAATATTTAATATTGTTGAGTATTCATATTTAAACATATTAAATAATTTTAAATTAATATTATATATTCTAATTTAAAATTATATGAGGAATATTAGATGTAAACATTTTCAAATTATAATTTTATCTATTATTCCTGCTTTCTTTTCAAACCACTTAAATAATTTATTGTAGATAAATAAAAAAATGTAGACATTTTGTACATCAAGTAAATTAAGACTACGAACAATACAGCTACAACGGAAATTACATCTAACAATAAGTATTGGTACCATGTAAGATTAAGTGCTTCAGATTTCAAATGGTGTGCACCATTGTGACGAATTACATATTCGGTCCAATAAACAACTGATTCTTGAGGAGTCATTGGTCGGTCTTTGAAACGATTCGCGGTTATTTTAGCGTTTTTTGTATAGCTAGGTATTTGTAAATGTAAAAAGCATTAAATCACAAATAGTATAGGTAGGTATTTTTTCAGGATCTCACTTTGTATTAGATAAAAGTTCTTTGATGTTGTACAAAAACTGTTGCTTAGTGACAGACATCAATTCCATTGTTATCGCCATGCCCGCATCTACTAGATTTTGCAAATTTCTTGGTTGATCATAGTACAGTGGAAAACCTAGAACTGGAACTCCCGCGTCCACTGTTTCATAAACACCGGATATCCCGCCATGGCTTATAAACAACTTCACATTTGGGTGCGCTAAAATAATATGAACGACGTTGTTGGTTATGTTAAAATATTATCTTTAATACACAGACATTTTCCTAAAAGAACTAGGTACCTACAAAAATGTAATATTAAAAATTTGCCTATTGTGTACATACCTTTATTTTTATACCTATGAACCGGTAATGTAAGAACTAGAAAAGTCATATATTTTATTGGCAATGATAATATATTCCTATGTTTAATAACTCAATTCTACAAAAATACAATATCATAGACATCCCATTCGTAATAGTAATAATTTAAAAAAAAAAAAATTTGTATAATATCTATATCTTAAATCGCGAATTTTATTTCAGCTATTACATTCCCAGGTACAAAATATATATAAGTAAATACCTATATAGGTAGTACTATTTTAGATATATAGTATCTAAGTTACAAAATATTTCCTTATAGAATCATTGAATAAAAAAATAATAATAAGTAGGTATTAAACTTTAAAAATAAAATGGAATGTTTTTTTTTTCAAAAACAATTTGAAACACCTAACAAATTTACCTGGTTATTAATATTCGTATGCCTGCAAAATTTAATTTGGTACCAACAGAGTTGTTCTGGGGATTTTCGGGGCTCGGAGTAAATACCAATAGCATAGCCTAAAATTGTGTATTATGTGCATGTGCACAGAATGTATTCAGCGTGCTTAACAGTGGAAAAATTAAAGGGAGGTAAGTTTTTCTTTTGGGGTATTTCGGCTTTTAAGAGAATCCTAAAAAACAAATTCTTCTTCATTTTTCTCTACCTATTGTTATCTATCTTCAGTTGGCTCTAGGGTCTACTACTTTTTAGTCTTCTCATCTAAGGAGATGTCTCCCTAGAGGTCTTTTCCCTATCGGATCTTCCTGTGATGAAGATCACTGCTTTTATCATTGAGCCATTTTTCCATCAATCATGTCCGGCCCATGTTAGCCTCCTTTTTGTGCCTTCCTTAATATAGGTACATGGCCTTTAGAACAGATTTTAGAGCTCCTCATGATTTAGTATGATATGGGTCATAAATCTGCCTTAGTAGGTACTTTTCTTTCAAAAATATCTAGTCTTATTCTCTTTTTCTTTCTTAGTGCCCATTTTTCTGATCTATATAGAATGATAGGACCTATTAATGCGGTATCTATACATTTTAATTTTTAAGCGTTTAATGATATGTAGATTAGGATTTTAGAAAGGTTCTAGCACCAAAATAGCCTTTTTCTGCCATTTTGTACTCTTCTAGATATCTCTACTTTTAACTCATTGTGTTGGGTTATGAAAACTCATAAGTACTACTTCTACACTCAGTTCCTGTTGTTGAATTTTATCCCTTTTATTAAATAACCATTGAATTTTTTTTTTTTTTGAGAATGTTTGGATTCTTTTCGGTAGGTACTGCTACTATAGAAACGTGGAACCTAAGCGCGATTTTCTTAGAACTATTACACAACAGACGTACAGAGAGACGATGGGTGTATGCGAAGATGATATACGAGATTGGTTCAAATCAAAGTCTAGGATGAGGGTCACCCACTCCAAATAGCTGGGAAGAAAAACAGACTTACAGAGAACATCTCGTTGAGGAAACCAATTGCCTGTCATCACGTTGTTCGGTTTATCTTCCATTTCACCTTCGTATTTCCATAAAACTCTCTGAGGAATTTGTCGGAAAACATTTTTAAATGTATTTTGAATGTGTTCTGGTAAAGTTGACATGGCTATCACCGATCCGAATGTGAAATATATAACACCGTGAGGGGAATTATCAATGAATTCTTGAATCTTCTAAAAAATAATTATTTTATAATAGTAAGGTTTTAATAATTTAGAATCAAAAGAAACAAACATTTGTAATTACGTAAGATTATATGCAAATTAACTACCTAAGAATAATTAGCGATTTCATATTATTATTACCGATGTTAACTATTTACTAACAATATAATATAAGTGATAATGTAGCTAATATATAAGTATACTTATAGGTAGGTACTTGAAGAGAGGTTAAAACAAAATACTTACTGTCAAATCAATTAATTTAGTACCTATTAAAATAATTTTTTTGAGGTAGAATTTCATTTTGAAACTAAGTACCTACCAATTATTATACTAAGTAGGTATTAACAGCAATGATATAATATGGAGTACAAATACAGGATGTTCCACCGCGTTTGACGCATTTTTCTAAAGTTATTAACATTTCATTTTTAACATTTTTTTTTTTCAATCTACTTTTTTTGAGGGGACATCTATTTAGAGAAAAATTAAAGTTTTATTTTCATCTCTTAATGACTAAAAAGCTATTCAATTTACATCTGTAAACCAATGCTAACAAAAACGTTTATAATATGAATTAATTTCGTGTACCTACATATGATTTGTAAAGCCGTAATACTTACGATTTTCTTCAAAATTTGTTCTTAAAATAATTATAAAAAATTCCTCCATTACACTCAAATTTTCTTTTTTGACCACTAAACAAAACTTATAACGAACCTCCTGTTAAATTTTCATGTATTTCTGTTTTTTTTTAAACATTTGTACGTAAAACACACACAAACAAAATTCTTTAAATAGCTCAATAATTATTCCACGTCTAGAAAAGGCAAATAAAAGTTTTGTGTCCAAATTTATTCTCTACGAATATTTTCAACTAAATTACATTACATCTTTGGGCATTTTTGTCTATCTTCTTTTTGTGTATTTTAGATTCTGAATGGAACACTGGAGCTGTAGAGTGAGGAATGTATTGGTTTTACAATAATGTTTAATTTGTTATTTTTGTGAACAACTTTTTTCTACCAGCAATTTTTGAGAAGATATTGACTTAATTTTGTTAAAATCCCATCAATTGACCAATGACTATAACAGATTTTGACCGGTAAAAAACCTAACTCTTTTTAAAAATGTATATCTGTATATTAAAAAGAAATATGGACTATAAACAAAATTAAATGTCCTCGCCCCTCAGAAAAGGTCCAAGATACGCGTCTGAAATCATTGCAATAAAAACACGATTGTAATTGGTGGTCGGTAGAGTATTATAATAATAACTAGTATTATTCGTGTTTTTTCTGTCATAGTCAAGGTAACCCAGAATTAAAAAAATGGAACCGATGTATTCACAATCGATGTTAGTTTTTTAAATTTGTTCGATGATTTTACTTATCTACCATCACGTGTTTTACAATGTTTTTACGGAAATGTTACTTAACTACGGTTACTACATATACAAGGTTTTATAAGAATTTTACGATTTTACGAAATTTGTTTTAAATGAAGTACCACAAATCAAAAAAATATGCGTTGTTTTAGGAGTGATATAAAAAAATCGAAGCATTTTTACACATTTAAAATGTCTTTAAAAATCTTAATTAAACTAATAGTAGCAAGAATATTATTTTTGAATGTGTTCTTTTATTAGTTTTGAATTATTGAATTATATTTGAAAAGTGGTGTATTGGAGGGGGGTCGAGAGACATAGCCTGCCACTGGTCACATTAAGTAATTGCTAGGAACGCTAATTTGTCTCGAAATATTATAGTCCCTCTTCTATTTTTCAAATTCGAACATTCTCTGTCATTATGCAGTCGAATTTCTACACACCTATTTCGTATTATGTAAATATTCTTTACAAAATAATAAATAACCGAATATCATAATTTTAGTAGGAGTGTTCAATAGTAACAACATGATGAGATTCAACCAAACATTTGATTTTTATCATTTCAACCCACCTATAAAACAGCTTTAATTTCCGAGTTTGAGCTTAATTGATCCAAAGAGTCGCTTAAAGTGTCTAAAAGTAGCGAGAAAAAAATGGTTGTAATAGACTTTTTAAAGCATGCTTATAGATACGCAATTAATACAAATAACTATATAATGAAGTTTTAAGTGTGTATTTAAAAATACGAAATACCGTAGACAGTAACATCGAGTACCTATTGTCATGATTAACACCCGTGAAATAATCTAAGTAAATATTATGTATAAACAATTCGCTGGTACCTATTTATAATAAGTAACTTATACTCTATTTTTACTAATTTAAAGTAGGTATAGGTATCCAGTCATCAGTGACACGTATCTTAACAACACGTGAACAATTCACTGTTGATTAGGTACATATCTAATGTTTGTATTTTTATGTAATAAAAATATAATATTAAAAATGAAATTAGGACAATAGATACTTATATCTAGGTAACCAACAATCATGAAATAAGTGATGACTGATGATCAGAGAGAGATGGGTATATACCTCTAATGTATTAAAATATTTCCTGTGACATTGATATTGTTGTATTATTGAATTAAATAAATTCTATAATTATATTATTAATACTCAAATTATTTAATATCATAAATAGTATTATCACGTGTTATTTTCATTTATTTATCAATTTAGCAATGTCATTTTGAACAACCGAACTTGATTAGTTTGTATTATAATGCTTAAATAGTATAGTTGTTAATAATATTATTTTATTTTATGTGCGGAAAATTAGAAAATTGACATGCTCACAGAAAGTGTTTGTCCCCAGTGAAAAAATAAAATAATAATAGTAAAGTATGTATTTGGATTACTATTATAATTTTTTTCTGTATAGTAGTGCTAGAAGTTTTAGACTTTGGCGATTTAGAGTTCTCTGGATTTTCGTACTTAAAAAATTACACAATAAATTACTATCAGAACAAATGTACACAGTAATGCACATGATAGAAAATTATTAGGTACATTAAATTATGAAAATTAATGTTTTTGGACAGTGAATCGGTCCATTTTAGGTTTATTATGATATCGAAATAGTTCCTACCTTTACCTATGTAGTGTCTAGAAGTGTGACGCATAATGCCAATATAATTTAACTGGCTAATGTCGGTTATATGTTTCAGTTAGTCTTGGTCGGTTGGGATCTAAATAGTGTCTACAAATGTCACAATGTACAAGTTTAAACCCTTGAAAATAAAAACTGATTGAACTACCAGTAGAGATCATAAATTACTTTAGCGTGCGTTTGGACATATTTTAATATTTTTCGTAGCTCTATACGTGAAAATGCGCTGCTCTAATTTAAAAAATGAGCTGATATTAGGGATGGGAGCGGCCACTGTTATAGGTGAGAAGTTGAGAAGATAGGATAAATAAGATTATTTCATTTATATCTGTAAACAACGATAAAACATTGCTTGACGAAAGACGATTTCAAGCGCAGTTCGGTAATTTGAAGTGACGTAATTTCTTTTGCGATTTTCGTTTAAATTTGATTTCAAAACACTTATTAAAAATAAAAAGTCATCTGATGATTTTAGAAATTTTACCACGTCTAGGTAAGTCCAGCATAAATATTATTACCAAGTTTCAAGTCTCTGCGTGTATTAATAACCGAATTACAGCAAAATAACTCCTAAAAATTAAAATTCCTTAAAAGCTCAAAAATGTCTCAAAAGTTTTGGTGCTGATACCGCAAGAAAGCAAATCAAAAAGGCAACAAAATAAGTATCTTGTGTCTTTTCGATTAAATCATTTATTTTCTGGTAGAAAACGTCGTCCATGTTTTTTAGATATAATGAAATCGTAAAATTGTACGTTTTTTCCCACTTAAGTGCTTTTATTTAAAAAATGGCGTCGAAAATCAAAAAAAATATCAAATCAAAGCACTTTTACTAAACGATAAAGTGTTTTCAAAATAAAACACGCATCCTAAAGTTGAGCATTAAATACACTGAAACAAGACTGAGAAAAATAATATTTCAAGGAATAAAATATACTTTTAAAACTACTCGGAATACAATATTGAATAGAACTGTAAAAAAGTATTTTTAAAATAAATACTTTTTTAAGCATACTGAATATTTTGTGTGGAATACTATACCGACATTATAATATATATTTTTATCAACCATACTGGGTCACCTTAATAATTTTATTTAGCTTCAAGACTTCTCCTCCTAAAAAAAAAAAATTTGGGTGTGCCCTCGGTACTAATTATTAGCCCTAGAAATTGGCCTCTTTAAAATAGCTGACCCAGAGTTCCCAGATTTTAGATCCGCCACTGATTAATTGAATTAATTTGTTTTATTATTCTTATTTTTATAAATAAGGATTTTAGATGTTTAAAAAATTGATTAGTTTCCCTTTCTCCATGGTTTATCATTAAAATGTACCTGATAAATTATTGTTTTTATAAATAGGTATAGAATATGGCTTTACTTATTTTTTTGTATAAAATCGATTTTTTTTAGTCCACCGTTTTTTTTATTATTTCGGCCTGTTGGGTGTCGACACCCAATCTGTGTCCGTCTTATTTTGTACAACACGTATACAGTACAATTTATAATATGTGTATTTTATACTTACTGGCGGCAAGATCCGAGGTTTCTCCAAGTGTATGCCCCCCACGTGTATGACGTTCGAAGGCAACAGCATTGCAGGCTCTGTCACCTGGTGGCTGTTGACAAACACTATGGACGGTTTGGCGGGCTCGCCGACGTCGTACGGACGCCGGGTGGCCGTTCTCTCAGCGTACCAACGGGCCAGCCGGCCGTACGAGTACACGGCCGTGTTGGCCATCCGTTGCCAGAACGCCCGAACCGACGAACCGTACAACAGATGCGGCACGTACGCCGGGTTGGCCGAATGACCGACTACGGACGGTTGAATGTACGAGATCATGGGCGTGGGCATCACGTACACCATGGGTAGCCCTACAGTGGCGGCCAGATAAGACACGCACTCCGAGCCCAGTGGCTCGATGACCAGCAGATCGAACTCGGCGGCCGCCTCTGTGCGGTTCGCCATAAGCGCCCGGATCTCTTTCATGCCGTACACCGCGTCGCAAAAATCCCGGCTCCACCGGACCACGGACGGCACGATGTACGACAGCCGGCTGTAGTCCCCTAGCACGTGGGACGCCTGTTCGCCGGCGTGCCGCCGCAACACCGCCGACGTATCCACTTCGGTATAGTTGCTGTCGGCGTCCTGCACGCCCGCGGTCGACGGGTAAGACGTGAACGCCACCACCTTGTGGCCGCGTTCCGCCAGCGCTCGGAGCACGGCGCTCATAAAATTCCAGTGGCTGCGACCCGGCACTGTTTCGACGGCCAGTATGTTGGCCGCTCGAATACCACAGGGCGTCTGCACAGCCATCATCATCAGCACCCCGACCAGGACGGTCTGCTGCACGAACACGCTCGACAGTGTCATTACGGTTATTGGACCCGACCACTCCGGCGTCGACGACTCTTATAGGGATACCTATACTTCACTTATCGTATTGTTCACAAGTCACAGGCGCAATAATCGCTATTAATGCACAATAATCTCTTGCCACTCGAAACGGGAACTTTATTGTATATTTGTGTTATTTTCCCCGCGGTAATTATGACGTACCATATCTATAATGTAGTAAATTTTAAACTCGTTTGAATCATACGTGTGGCTGACGTACCAGCAATGGTTTCCTTCGTTTGATAAACAATAAGGGATTATAATAAAAACGGCAATAAAATCGTTTATTTTGTTTGTTAATCCCAGTCACTCAATACTCTCTACAATCCATAGTCTACAGTCTTCGCAGATCATTTTCATTGGCCCAAATTAAAATAAAATATTACTCTACACAAGATATTATGTATATTACCTATCTGATTACATTTAATTTATACAAACGTCAAATTCGTAGGTATATATTTTACATACATTTATTTAGAACCGTAAATTTATATTATCGACACTATTGATCAAATAAGTATGTAATTATTTCTAAAAAAAAAAAAAAAAGAAAAAAGAAAGAAGAATAAAAACGTAATATTACCCTTGAGGTTTTATAAGCACAATTATTTAGCAAATACATGGTTTTGAATATTACGTTTTAACTAGTCTATCAGTTACCTATTCAATCTCAGTACAATATAATATTATATGCTATTTTAAGTTTAAGTTTAGGAAAAAACCGTTTAATGTTAATTTTTCGAATATTTTATACAATAAATTCAATAGATACCGAAACGACAACTTATTATTATTAAATGTGTATTGAATTGAATAATTGGATTTAATGTTTGCAGGGATGTTTATAAATTATAATATATTTATTATTGTAGAAACAAAGAAATGTACGTCAATATAATATGTTGTACAATATATAAATAATGGCGCGACTTTTTTTTTAAATGATCACCATCAGCCATTAGGTTCTACCATCTAATTGATTAGATATAGGTATAATATGACTAAAAACTATTTCGCAAATTTCGGAATCGTGAAAATTTGAATATAAATCGATGTATACGATTCCGCATGATTTCAAATGCGTTATTACGAAGTTTTAAAATCGAAAAAAGATAGAATAAAGTCTTTTATTTTTTTAATTTTAAAACTGTTATTAGTGATTATAGTACTTGTCGAATAGAGTATTACAAACAATTGTAAAAAAAAAAAAAAAAAAATTCCTTATGGACAAAATCAATATTTGAAGTATCCCAGTTTGTATATCTCATTAATAAGTAAATTCTAATATCACGATTATAAAAAAGTTTGTTAAATATCGGTTAATGTACTTATGTGTTAAAAATTTATATGAATATATTTTTGTCAACAAAAATTTTATGGTAAATCCGACGTTCAATAACGATATCGGCAATAATAGTCATTGAGATAAGAAAAATAAAAAATTTACATAGACTTATCTCCTGGGCTCCCCATCCATTTTCATATTTAATGAAAGCTTACAATCCCTACTTTAATATAGTGTAGAATTTGGTTGCACATATCAGCTGTTCTATTCTTAGTTACGAGTTATGACTAAAAGTGATTTTGTATACGCTAGTTTTTACGTTATTGTGTATAGTTATTAGTGTTTTTTCGTTTTTTATACACTTTATAAATTACTTATGTATTATTATATTATTAAATTTATATCTGAAATTATCTCATTGATACCATTGACCGTTAAATTTTAATAAAATTACGTTAAATTCGGCTTTCAGTACCTCAAGAAGGTAATATTTATTGATGTGTCACGTATCGCTCACTAAATCACAAATAATTTTAAAAATACTTCTTCTACTCCCCTATTAAAGGGCAAATCTTAAAATTGATATTAAATCTTTTTTTGGGACCTAAAAGACATAAATATTGATATGCCACGCCATAAATTACAAAACCACTTTTAAAAAACCCTAACCCTCCTCCCACAAATAAAGAATAAATTTTAAAACTGATAACAAATTTGGGTTTAAAAATTTTTTAACTCAGGATCCGAAAGTTTTTAGTTTTATATAATGGACCATTTGAAAATAGTTATTTTATTTCAGCTTTTGCCGATTTTAAAACACTGTTAAATCGTTTCCTCTCGTTATTATGAACTTAATTCATAATATGTATAAATATCTTATATACTCATTATGTATGCATAATAATAACCCAAAGTCAAGAGAACCTGCAGTGTTGAGTGTATTCAAATTTGTAAATAGACAAATATTTTAAAAGTTATTCATCATAGTGTTGAGTCATATTTTTTTTTTAATTATTATTGTTAAATAGATGATTTTTATTTGCATGGTAAATTTTGTTAAATATATTTATACAGTATTATTATATTTATCAGCTATACAATTACATTAAACTGTTAGAAAAAAAAATTAAAGTTATTAAAATTAAAAATAATTTGAAAATACATTATATTGGTACACATTATAATAATAGTTTATAATAACGAGAGCAAAGAACTTTATGGCAACGTTGCATTTAAAATCATGTGGAATTGTGTATGAACACGAATGCAAGCTAATAAAATTTACAATAAGTAGCCGAGTATTAGGTACGAGTGCTTGCTGTTTTTAATTCGGACGATGAAATATTAGCGAACAATTGTATAACCATCGAAAATAAATATACGTTAAGTATGCGGAAATAATCAGTGATAACACTACGATAACGACTATGTCTAATAAAAAGTACTAATACCAAGTCAATTTAAAAACTTTTGAACTCAAATGGCGAGCTCCGTTGTCGCAATATACGTATTCAAACCAATAGTTGATCAGTTCTGACGTAGTCATCGGTCGGTCCTCGAAACGTTTCGATACGATTTTGGCATCCCGAGAGTATATATAAAACAATTAGAACACCAGTACTTATAAAATTAAATAAAATAATATATAAATAGCAGGTATTTTTTTTTAAAAAAAAAGACACGTTCAGTATTTAAAATTTAAATTTTAAACTCATTTTTGTTAAAACACTATTACTATTACTATTTCTATCTTGATCTATAAAGCAGTGGTTTTCAAACTTTTTTCACAACATTTTCACGGCACGCTGTGCCTTTTTTTTGTCATTATTTAATTATTTTGCATAAAATTAGAACTAATAACAAAATTGATGAGTCAGACTCAAACGAATAATCAAAAAAATTATGACTTCGTACTTAACGAGCGGATCACCGTAACCACTGGTCCGTCACAATTTCAGTAAAACAAATTTCAAAAGACCGCGGCACACTTAGTGAATTCTCGCGACACCCAGTTTGAAAACCACTGCTATAAAAAAAAATCCAGCGTTAGTTAGTACCTATGTATTACCAATATTAAGCCGGTCCCACACGACTCGTGTGCTTTGCGAGCGTATACTCGGCGAGTGTACTTGCCAAGTTTGTACAATGTACGATGTTTGTAATTATGTTGCCCCTACACGACTCGTGTGCTCGCCGAGTAAAAGTAATCGTCGTGCTTTACGATTAAATACCTCACTCACAACTTGCAAAATAGTACGATTGACAAATATTCGCCGATTACACGAGTCGTGTGGGACCGGCTTTAGACGAATATTTTATTTGAATAAATTCGTGTTCGAGTGTACGATAAAAAATAATTATTCCATAATTCGTTTATAATGATTTTTAAGGGAGTGGGCTAAGAGGGAGGGGGTGCAAAGAAGATATTAATAAGGTTCCTGTTTAAGTATACTATTTTATTGTATGGTTGGTTATTTATGCACGATCCAGCAAAATTACAATAATTTTTGAAAAACGATATTCAAACATTTAAAATTATAAATATTCGCATAAATCGTCAGTACTCAAATAGATTAGGTTGATTATTTAAATCAACAAATAATAATATCATATCAATTTGTATTAAAAAATGTAATTGTAATACGTAATAATGAAATACGTAATTGTTCACGCATTATGTAATAATATTGAATTCAATTACCAGCTATGTAATATAATATAAGTTAAAAGTTTATAGCCAAAATAAAATAAAATAATATAAAATGTTTTTAAAACGCCCAAAAATTGCAATGTAAAACAGCAAGTCAATTAGAACAATTTAATATATTAAAATGAGATAGTTGGTAATACTAAAACGAAATATGTATATACAAAAAAAAGACGGGACATACTTCACACGTGGATGGGCTACTATTGAAGGTGAGAAGTTGGGAAGGTAGAGGGGAAATTTAATGTATATTTGTTCGCAACGATTAAACATTGCTAACGAAAAAACGATTCTGAGCGGAGTTCGGTTAATAGTGTTGCTTTGTCAACAAGAACATATATATGTCATATTATGGTAAAATAATTACATATTATGCATTATACATTTTTTTTTTTTTTAATGATATTTGAGTAATATTGTACCTATTTCCCCGTTTTTGCTTCGATTTTTCTGGTTTTTCCTATTTATTTGAAAACAGCGGGGAAAATGAAAAAATAACTTCCCTAAAGTATCACCCCAGACAGATTTATTTTCAGAATAAGTGCTATCATTGTTAATCGGAGCAAAACTGCTTGTAGAAAAGTTGTCCACAAAAAAATAAAAAATAAACCTCATTGTAAAACGTTAAAAGAAAAAATATCGATAACAAAAAACGGAATTTCCCTACACGTTTTTACTCCCCGATTTATACTAAAACACTCCATCTGTTTACAGAATTTTTAATACAAGTCGCCATTCGACAAACAAAAGTACTGGTAGTCGTTTAAGCCCCAAAAAATAATCGAAATTAACATTACATTATAGAGATTAGAGATTCTCATTTCTTAAATATTCCAATAGAAAAAGTTTAAATTTTCGGATAAAACGAGTGTCTTGTCGATCACCCAGTATAATAATTTTAGGTATATCTATAGAAATACATATTTTATAATTGCTGCATTTTCAGATGCGGAAACAAAACTTACGTTACGCGCACCTATGTCTGTAAGCATTTAAGTGCCATTTAAATCGTATATATTATATAAATGTTTAATTAACTCCATATTACATATTATAGAATCAAGTGTTATAGTCAAGACAATATTTGTCTATCGAATCTTTAATTACCTAACGTAAACGGATTACACAGCCGGCAATCCTCTTGTTATTACAACTCGTTTGCGAACAATAGAATATTTCGAGTGAGTATACCTACGTATTATATTGATCAAAATAATAATACATAGGTAGTATAAGGCTCTTATAATAATATTGGCATTCTAGCTTATTAAATTGTTAGACGATTTTTACATTTTGAGTGGAGCGAAGAAGCTATTATGGTTTTACAAAGATGTTTATTTTTATTTATTATTTTTTTTCTGTGAACAATTTTTCTACTAGCAGTTTTTCTGCGATTTAAAATGATATCACTTTTTCTAAAAGGTAATCTGACTGGGGAGGTACTCTAGGTTAAGATGTAATATTTTGATTTTCCCCAGGAGTTTTTTCAAAAAAAATGGGAAAAATCGAGAAAAACCGTCGGAAAGACGGGAAAATAGATATAATATTAAACAAATATTATTAATGAAAAGATGTAATGCCCATGTAATTATTTTACCATAATATGACATATATACTGTTGAAAAAGCAAAACTATCAACTGAACTTTGCTCAGAATTGTTTTTCGTTAGCAATGGCTTATCTTTGCATACATTAAATTTCCGTTTTACTGCCTTTTCAACTTTTCACCTACAACAGCGGCTGCACCCACGTACGAAGTTGCCCGTGTTTTATTTTTTACTTGTTACTTAAAATGTAAATCAATAACCGTGTGAATAGTAATAATATACAGGTGAATAATAATAAAACGTACACTATTACGTTTTATGCGTATATAGATGTTCATATTTTTTTAACGCGACGCCAACAATACGTCATAACTTATAATAATAATAATTAAACGTAATTTTTTTCGTTTACAAATTTAACTTGTATCAAATATTGATAATATATTTGATAATGTCATTACGTGTAGGTAAAACGATCGAAAAGATTATGGTTATCGTATTTCAATTTACGATGATGATAAACTAAATTACATGCTTTCGAAAATTAGGTCGATAGCGAGTAACGGTAATATATTTTATACCATTATATGAAAAAAAAAAATAGTAGTAGGCTTTTTTTTTTAAAAAAATATAAACAAACGTTTACCCGTACTTATCGTCTTCGATGATCTCGTTGATTTTTTTCCAAAAAATCATTTTTATTGACCGTCAACAGGTCCATAGACAACGTCTTTCCTGCGTCGACCAAGTTGCCCACGTTTCTCGGCTGTTCGTAAAAAAGAGGGAATCCGAGAACTGGGACACCGACGTCGACGGCCTCGTACACTTCCGAAATTCCCCCGTGATTTATAAACAATTTTACGTTGGGGTGTACTAAAAATCATATTAACGGTTTTTTTTTTCTTCGTCAATCGATTGTATATACAGTTTTATTTTCAGCCCTCAACAATTTTACTCACGAAGAACATCTCGTTGCGGAAACCATTTTCTTGTTATCGTATTATTCGGTAAACATTCGATTTCGCTGTCGAACTTTCATAACATCCTTTGGTTAAGTTGTTCGAATGCTTTTATGAACGTTTGCAGTACGCGCTTAGGCAACGTCAGCATGAACGTAATGGATCCTAACGTAAGTATATCACCCCGTTCGGCGAATTTTTAATAAATTTTAAAATGTCCTAAAACATATATGGAAGGATCAAATATGTACAATTTCGAAATTATCGCCATTCGATGTATGCGTGACGGTGACGATGGAATGTTAAGAGAACATTGTATACCCACATCATAATGATAATTTTCGTTCAGCGGGAACAACCCCAGGGCAGCGGACAGAAATAAAGAGCCCCTGCACTGACACCTTGGTCGCCATTTTTTAAAATGTCTGTAACAAAAAAGAAAGTTTAAGGTATTAAAAAGTAAAAATCATACTAACACAATAATATATATCGACAATGTTTTGTTTAAAGGACGTATACCATTAGAACACTTTTTTTCGGGATGCAAAAATAAACTGTCTTGCAAGAAATAGCAAAACATTTTTAATTATGCTTATCATGAAAAATAATAAAATTACTCATATACACGTCATAATACTTTGTACTATACAAAATATACATGCATTGAATGTGGTATATGCCCTTATAACAAATCAGTGTTAATTTAATTATATTCTTTGAAACGGCGCCTGGATATCTTTTAGTGGACATTACCAACTTCATTTTCTGTATTTAAATACGCCATTTTACCAGTTTATGCTCCTAATTTTTCTGTTTTTTTTTTTTTTTTTTTTTTTATGCCAAAAACCTACCGATTTTTAGTGATAAACACCATTTTAACAAAACACTATCGATATAAATATAATATGGTATAAAATAATTATTATATTATTAACATTTAATTTTTTAATAAAATATTTATTGATTTTTAAAGTAAAATATTATGAAATTAAACTAAAAATAGTTTTTATACATCAATGTAAAAATTAGCTAAAATATAAGACCAAAAGTATTTTATTCAAGTTACAGGAGTTTGATACATGTATGTATTTCTTCGGGTTCTTTAAATAAATAAAGTTATATACATATATCTACACACGGGACCGGCTTCGAAAATATCGAAGCACTGTGCAGTTATTCGTAATAATCCCTGCAGGTACCCAACTGTGGTTTAAAATGGAACTTTATACGTAAAGTGAAGTAAATACACGAATACATATTGTTGTGTGTGCGATAACAGTGATAATATAAATAATCAATAAACATTAGAAATCGTACGCAAAACTACAATTTAGAAAACACGTGCAATTAATTTGCCACATAGTTTACAGGTAACTAAAATGCAGGTCAATGAACCAATAACATGCTGTATCACAATTTGTTCACAATATACACGGCACGATTTATATTAACAATAACACAATACATAGGTATACTGACGAAACAAAATGTATTGATTATAATTGGATACAGTGACTACATGAATACAGTGTTGGTTCACTGGAACACCGAAAATTTATGGTGGGTTTTGGGTGTTGAGTCGTTCAAATATTAACAAAATTCCAGCAACCGTATTAATTCATGCGAAGTTATAATGATTTAATTCTAAATTCTAATTCTTAAAGCCTTTATCCTGTAATTATCAGACATCTAGAAATTTTTGGGAGGAGATGTAACCGTATCACCATTATGTACACTACTGGAGGATATATAAAGTCATTGAATAATGTATACGCAACGGTAAACCATTGTTAACGAAAAATGTTTCTGGGAAAGTTAATTTGTTGGTGCATATTTTGAAACGCCATAATTTTATGATTTTCGTCAAAATTTGAACTCGAAGATTTCTGTTTATAACCACTAAGTTGAACTCGTAATGGACATCGTATTAAATTTTCAAGCATCTCTGTTCGGCCAATCAATTTTATTCACAATAAACCGAATAAAAACTGAACATCTCAAAAATAACTAACACCTATAAGTAGCTTAAAAATCGGATGCATTTTTTGAAAAGTTTGCCTTCTATAAAAAGGGCAATATTCTGTGAAAATGTTAGGTAACTATTTTTAACCGAATAATAACAAAAAATAAAATAAAATCAGAAATAATGAAACCGTTAATGTTGTTTCTCGGTTTTTCCCAATTATTAAAAATCTACACGAGAAATCAGAAAATGGCCCTATCAACGCACTGGCTAGATTCAAAATGCAATACGAAAGGATTCTTGTTGGTTTTTAATCGGAGCGATATTTCTTGTTAAAAAGTTGTTGATTGTCAGAAAAAAAAAAAAGTAAAAATCATAATGAAATCAATAAAACACGCACAATAATAATATATTATAACTAAATAAAAAACACAGGCACTCGTAAATGTTATAAAACGATTACGGATCACGTGAAATAATGTACAATTTTGCTCCCATTCCTGAATCTATGTTGATATTATTGTTATTAATAACGTGTCATTTAGCCTATTGGTATTGTTATACAAGTATTATATTACCTAGTGTAGTTATAAGTTGATGTTAGAATGTAAAATAATTGACGTTGGACGTTTATGCGTACGATGTACACGAATAATATAATCAAATCAATTTGTAACCGTTTAATTATTAGTTTTTTTTTTTTTCTTTGAACAATATTAATAAAAATTGTAATTGTTGTAATTTATATGTGACGATAATAATGTACAAATACCATGTTTATATTCGCATACAAATTTTAGGCTTTGAAGAAATTTTAAACACACGTTTTCAAAATGAACTAGGTTGAAAATATTTTTCAAACGAAATACCCAAAAAACAATTCAAATAAAGTACCGTTACATATTATATTATAAGTCAACATATTCGTTTTTTTTTTTTTTTTACATCGCGTGATACATATATATTATTCGAAATTATATCGTTATCAATTTGCACGGGTCGTCAATCATCATAATATTTTGTTTTGTAAGAAAAAAATTGTTTCTAACGGTATCATTAATAAGCTGATTAATAATACGAACACGGAATGTATATACAAACAAACAATGTAATATATTTTTCACGAAACAAACTAGGTATAAAGTAAATTACTTCGACTCTTTCACTGTCTTGTATATGTATACCTTTAAGGCTTTAACGTTCATATTCAAGAATAATAATTAGTGTAGTGTTGAGTGTTGATATCAACTAATATCATATAACATAAATTACGGAATTTAGGTTGAAATCCAATTTTTTGCTATACTACCTAAGTATCCCACGAAGATGTACCCATTGTAATTTCTCCGGAGATAATAATGAAGAAAATCAGTCGGTTTTTTTTATATTACTCACAGGGATAAGGACTACAAATATTTTTATTTAAATTATGTTTTTATGTTTGGAAAAAAACTTAAAAAACAACTTTTTATTTTATTATTTTAAAAATAATTTAAGGTACCTATTTTAAAGAGTTAATTCTTCCGAAAATGTTGACGTTTCAACTTTTTATTTTCATTTAAAGTTCAGAAAAAAAAATGTGCGACCAATTAGCTATAGTAGATAATAATAATCAATTAGCGAATATTATTATGGCCTGCTGCATGATTTATTATTAGAACTTTTCTCTGTAAAATAAAAAATGATTAAAAATCACGAATTTAATGAAAATAAAGTTGATCCGTAAAAATGTCCAATAAAAATAATAATCTCCATAAAATGGATATCTTCATATTTTTCAAAAGTTTTTTTTACTAAAACATAAAAATGTAATTGAAATACAAATATTTGTAGCCTTTTTATTTGTGAGTAATAAAAAAAAGAAAAACATAATTGTATTATCTTTATAATTTCAGAAGATAGTGCAATAGGTATGTATCTTCATGGTACACTCTGTATAATATGCTATTTTTCTAAAATATTGTCAAACAAAAAATGTACAGCTATATTTAAAAAAAAATAAACTCAAACATAACATAACCATAACTTTTTTGTAATTACCCTATTAAAAAATGTGTAGAAGCTGTATCCATAAATTTATAATATTATAAATACATTATATATGTATATTCCACGCTTTCATGTTTTTCGCGTATTTTCATTGCGTATCCACGTGAATAATACTAAAACACGTGAACATGGATAATGGTAAATGCACTTGTATTAAATAGCCTACGAGTACAAATTTTTCATTCACGTGTACACTAACTTCTTTTTACGTACTTATTAGTTTACATTTTCAATCGAGACCTCAAGTATATATTCAAATCTGGCCTACATTTTCAAGACTAAGGATATATCTTAATAATATTCATAATATTTACTATTTAGTGTAAATTTCCAATTTTAGAGAATGTCGCAGTACTGTCCCATCCTGATTCCAACTCAAGCTACGTATATCAGTTTACCTTTGTATGTATAAATGATACAATTAACCGGATACACATATATAATATTTTCAATGATAAACGCAAGAGGGGGGATTCAAATCCTTTTAAAATATAAATTACCCTTTAATTTGTATTTAAATTGTAAACAATACCTACCTATCTACCTATTTTACTACCTATTCTACTTACCGTTAGGTCTACAGTAGTTAAATGTGATAAATATTTTTTCGCCCCCCCTCTCAACATTTTTTCCTACGTTCGAATTTCCCAACATCAAATCTCTCTTGCAAAGTCTGTATATCACAAACCATAAATCTAATATAAAACTTTTTCTTTTTTTAATGTGTTTTTAGTACTTTTTATTGAATATAATCGTATAGAATTGTTATTAGGTCGTAAATAATTTAAATGTTGATAGGTGTAGCTAGGTACCCAACTCAAAAATTGTATTGAAACGGAAAAGTCTACCGTAATTAAAAAATAATTGTGTTCGTTTTATTTAAAAACAATATAGAAATATATTATAATTTAATTCAATAGCGCATGATAATGTTAAAAAAAAAAACAGATTGTTGCTCAAGTATATAGGTACCTAACCTTATTAGAGTAAACAATGT